GATATTGCACACAGACATTTTAGCCCTATTCCCTACATTTCCTTTAACTTCAACAACTGGTGGTATAGAAAGAATGTCTAAAGATGTTCCATAAGATGATATTTATTTTCAACATGATGCTGAATTGGAATTCCCATTTTTACAAATACTCAACTCTACATTTAGTAAGTGCTTTCCTCTAGTTAAGTCTAAGATCAAGTCAGGCCAATCTGTTGGTAAACCATGGTTCTCTTCAGGATTATTAAAATCCTCTTTAAAGAAAAATAAAAATAATATAAAAAGATGTCTGCAACGTCCAACTCTGATACAAACAAACAATACAAAAGTATATTTTCACATCTACTCTGTATAGCAAAAAATAAATACTACTTGGACAAGTTTAAATAGTCTGTCAATAACATAAATCCACATGGAACAGCATCAATCAATTACTTAATAAAAAAAAAGGCTTCTGTGAAAACTCATCTCAATTTACTGATGGTGATATTTCTGTTACTAACCTTTTTGACATAGCAAATAGATTAAATGGCTTCTTTGCCAATGTGGATAGAACTTAGTGGTTACTTTCCCGCATTGTGTAGATTTGAACCCCCTACATCCAGAGAAGTGCTTGACATTATTGTCAACCTTAACAGTGCTACAGCAGGTCATGCTGAAATCAAGGCCAAGCTTTTAAAAGAAGTGGTATCAATTAGGTTCTCTCAATCTCTTTAAAAAGTGGAGTTGTCCCAAAAGATCTGAAAGTTGCAAAGGTCATGCCGTTATTTAAGGAAGGGGATCCTAACCTTTTCACTATTTACCGACCAATTTCTCTCAAGTTTTGGAAAAGCTAGTCAATGCAATAATGTTAAAACACCTGAATGATAACAATATCCTGAATAAACACCAACATGGATTTTGACAACAATACTCAACATATGGCTCTGTTACAGCTTATAGATAAAATCACCACAGCGTAGGACGATAATGTACAACTGGTATATTTTGAAACTTATCGAAGGCACAAAATTCTGATTTCCAGACTTCACTGTTTTCACGGCCTTCAGGATGTTGGATGCCTAAGGACAATTTTAGAGACACCAATTAACCTAGCCTGCATGTCTTTGAATGGTGGGAGGAAGCCAGAGCACCCGGAGAGAACCAATGCGGACACAGGGAGAACATGCAAACTCCACACTGAAAGGCCAGAGCAACAGGGGTTTGAACCCACAACATCCTTGCTGTGAGGCGACAGTGCTAACCACTGTACCACCGTGTCACCCTCACATTAAGTCAAAAATGTTGGGTTTATTAGTAGATGAAAAACTGTCCTGTAAAGACCACATTGAGTATGTGTGCAAAAAAATCATGATGTCGTTGGGCATTATAAGAAAAGTTTGACCAGTGGTAAATCAATCCAGTCTTTTAACACTGTAATGTATCTGTATCATACTGTAACATCGTTTGGGTAGTAATTATAACCCAAAATACATTTTAAGATTGGTAACTGTGTCAAATTGCTATCAATCTTCAGTTCCCCTGTTCAAGAAAGTAAATCTGTTATCCATTTTCAGCATCAATATATATCAAACATGTGTCTTTTGTATAATTGCAGTCTCAAAATCACAGCTTACCAAGTGTATTTCATAACTTCTTTATAATCCACTCTGATGTCAATTCATAAACAACCTGACAAGCAAAGAATATACATCTTCCCCATTATCATCCAACTCCTGGGCATTACACCATAAAAAAAGAGAGGAACATCACTTTGAAATACTGTTCCCCTCCCAATCAAAACCTGTACATCACTGTCAGTGTTTAAGTCCAAAATGTGTTTTTTATGTCATACCTAAAATTTATGTATGTGTGTTTATGTGTTATAGTTGTTTATTTTTTTTGTTTCATTTCACCCAGACACTTTCATCAGAGTATTTGACAACATGCCAGAGTACAGGCGTATGGACTCCCACTTACATGTGTGAACGTGAGTCTGACTGCAACCAATCGTCTTTCTGGAAAGTTCTTGAGCTGTCTTTAATGTTTACCCCCCCACACACATTCTTTCATGTAGCTGTGGATTGCGGTTATCCTGGTATCCCAGAAGATGGCATCCTTCAGTTGGTTGGCTCAGCACACACTCAGTATAAAGACCAGATCCAGTTTAACTGCAGTTCAAAGTACTACACACTGGAAGGAGATGGTGATTACTAAATGACTGTACACATCCCTTTTCTGTTTCCTTTCCTAAACTAACTTATAAGAATAGTATTTCTGGTTTTATTATTGTTTCACCAATATGCATTCTTTAATCTTTCAGAGACCTACATTTGCAATGCCACTGGTGAGTGGGTATCAGATGGTGGCAAGACAGAGCTGCCCAAATGCACTGAAAGTACGCCTTTAAATTGCTTTCTTATATTTCTCATATTAGCCATCATTTGAATTTGAATATGGATCTTTTGATTACTCTTTCTGTATTTCAGTGTGTGGGAAGCCTGAAAAACACCCTGCAAGTACAGGCAGAATATTGGGAGGTAAGAATGCAAAGCTGGGAGAGATACCATGGCATCTCTTGATAAAAGAGCCAAGAAGAGGAGGAGCATCACTGATCAATGACCGATGGGCGGTCACAGGAGCTGTGATTGTGGAAGACATAGAGGAAACCTCTTTGCGCCTGTATGGTGGACTGATAGATGGAAGAACAGCAGATAGGTTGTCTGATGTAGTTGTCGTGGACAGTGAAAGGATCATAATTCATCCCGACTACGTCAAGGGCATTGAAGATCGCACCAGTTTTGACAATGATATTGCTCTTATCAGATTTTCTTCCAGAGTGAATTTAGGCCCAAACCTCATTCCCATTTGTCTGCCAGAGGTAAAGAGAAGTTGGGTGGAAAATGAGCTAGGGACTGTGTCAGGCTGGGGGAAGACAGAAGTGCAAATAAAAAAAGAAGATGCAACACGTTTTGTCACATCTGCCCAGTTAAAATATGCTCATATTGGGGTCAAACCCCTTGCAGAGTGTGAGGATACCCCTTTAACATCAACTAAGAAACGCATGCTTTTCACTAACAATATGTTCTGTGCTGGAGCGGACGGAAAGGACAGCTGCCAGAAAGACAGTGGAGGTCCGTTTGTTTTGCCTATGTTGGCTGAAGGCATGGAGCCTTATTATCTGACTGGCATTGTGTCCTGGGGACCTCCCTGTGAAGAAAGGCAGTACAAGGGTTATTATACCAAGGTGGAAAATTATGTTGACTGGATTAAGAAGACAATAGACACAATAGAAAAAAAAAGATGAGGGAGAAAATACTTTGCTACTAACCATAATAACGTAATCCATGTCAGGACTGATTCAGATCTTTGAAATAAAAAAATGTTTATGAACACAAAGAATACAGTCTTGTATTCAAATGTACCACCATTATTATCACGAAGCTCTGATCACATTACGAATTCATACTTCACTTGTGTATTAAAGGAATTTGCAAATCAGCTGCAGAGAATGTGTGTTTTGACAATCTTAACAATATACTAGTTTTTTGTCTTTTAATCATTAACAGCTGAGACACATAATTTTCTTTCAGGACCTCCATACATTGGAATACTTCATTAATTTTATCATTTATACATGTGCCACTACTATACTACAATAAGAGACTAAGACACACATTTTGAATACTAGGAGGTTGAAATTAGCTTTGATACTGTATGTATTTCATGATATAGCAAGCGTATTAAAAAACACAAATAAATGAATTAAAATGATCTTCAGTGCAGTGTGTTTCAGTGATAATGTGTTCACCAGACAACATTGTTCACACAAGTAAAACAATAACTTCAGTAACTCATGTTGTTGTTTGCAGTTTAAATTACAATCTTCTCATTACCTTTTAAAAGAAATTATTCTGTTGTCTAAATAATTAACACAAAACAATACAGCTGGAAGAGATATCTTAACTTATGATATGATATGTGGACTAGAAAAATATAGTTCTGTTTGTACCAACAGCCTGGAAGAGCTTTACATGAGTAATGCACATGTTCAGACAACCAGAATCTCAGTCCCACTGTCTTGTAATGGTCAATAAGCAGTTTCAGAGTTTCAGGAGCTTGAGGATTCAGTGTTGATGGTATGATAGAGCATTACACACATTTTCCAGGCCACTGTAGTGATTTGTTTTAATGCAATTCTTTCACCACTTCAGTATGATTACTGATTACAATTTTGACTATATTCTAAAAACGTATCTTAGTTGCTCTCTTTAAAAAATGGCTCGGATGTCTCTTCCTCATGTGAGGTTGTAGTAGTTGGAGAACAATTAATGCTCTACTACCACGTAGTGGTGTCAATGGATTTGAAACATCAGTCTGGTCAGGATCAGTTAAAGCTTCCTTTTCCATTGAATTTCTGTATTTACATGTAGTTTTCTCTATTTTGATTTTCACGATTCTCCACTTTAGTTTTACTGTCATATTTGCATTTATGCATGTTTTCTTTTTTTTATCATATGATAATGAGGAGGCAGAACTACAGTTTTATGGCCATGATCAACCCCAGTGACATGGTCAGGTATGGTCTCAATGTGATGTTGCTTTTAAGGGAAAGGGAACACTGTGCTCATTTTACTCCTATGCTTTGCCATGGTGCAAGCAAGATACAGCTGCCTTAATTAGCTGCTTCACCTGGCGTTTTGATTCCCAAATGTTATACCAACATGTCTGCCTGGTCTAAAGTGAAAGGCCATTGCTTCTGTGTAAGCTGAAAAAGTCTAATAGCCTCCTCTAGTGGTAGAATGGTTTGTGGGTGAATGACCCAGAGTTTGAAATATGGAGATAAAGCTTGAGAGCGGTTTAAAAACAAATTCAAGCTAGTTCTTTATATTTTACGTTACTCTCAATAGATAATAATCTTAAAAAATATAAATAATATGAGTTGTCTAATTATCAAGATCTTTGTTATTCTCTTTTTTAGATGATTTAGGAATATGTGTTGTTTGCCAAGACAAACAACACATATTCCTGGCATTAATGCAGTGTTGCTAAACACTGGAAACGACAGACTTTGTGACATTAATGTTTCACTTGATTGTGAGACATTTGCTGCTGCAACAGTGGATCAGTTCACTCACGGATAGAATTTTAATGCAGAGATGGGGTGGACTTTCTGTTTCATCGGGTAAGTTTAGATGGAATTTTAAACCCATTTGTTCTGTACTTAAATCGTTTTTGAAGTATTTGTAGTTATTTCTAGCTTGATTTCAAAATTTGCTGCGTATGCTTTCTATCATTGTAGAGCTGCTTCTTTTTCCATCATTTATTCTCTTCTGTAAAACCAATATTACAGATGACCAGTATTTTATAAGTTGATCCATCTCTCAGTATGCCATATATGAAGCCTCGACAATGTTATACGGTTGCAACATTTGTGTTGATTGTGTCACCATGTTTGTTCTTTCTCTGTTTACATCAACTTTGGACCAGCAGCTCAGATGTCCACAAACTGATAAACAGATCGAACTCTCTCTATTCTTTTCCAGGTTTCTGTATGTGTCAGTGAGTGTGTGCTGGCGGCTGCCTGATTCAGAGCCTCTAATGTATGGGGAGGTCCAGTCCCCCCAGTATCCCCAGCCTTACCCTCCCAACCTGCAGGAGCAGTGGGACCTCAGTGTGCCCGAGGGCTACCAGATCCGAATCACCTTCACACACCTGGACATTGAAGCTTCTGCAGGCTGCCATTACGACGCCCTTACAGTCAGAGTCACATTTCAACACATATGATATCTCAAACAACAGACCAGTGTTCTAATATTTCAGTTCTAAACCTAAGTATGACTCGAGTGCCAGTTTTGACAAACTGACTCAGGCATGACTATTGATGACTTCACGTTCTTAAGTGATCTGGTACCGGGTGTTGTGCCTCTGGCCTCCAGATAAATGTAGCTTTTAGTAATGAGAGGATTTGAGACTTTGTGACCCACACCGGGTGACTCAACTGCAACACTGCAACATATTCTGCTGCTGATAAATGCTGCATAGTGTATTGCATCCTTGTCAGCATTTTTCCAATGAGTAACTTTCTAATGATTGTGTTCAGAATAACTGAGCCCAGACACACTTTGGGTTTGCACATCAAATGTATCCCCGATCCTTCAGGTTCTCTATGATGGAAAGGTCCTGGGGAAGTTTTGTGGCCATGAGAATTCTGCTGATGGGCATCATCCAGGCAACCATCCCATTTTGTCTCCAGGAAACAGACTCACCCTCATTTTCCTGACGGACGACAACAACCCAGAGCGCCACCAGAACGTGGGCTTCTCTGCTCAATACCAGGCAATAGGTAGCACTTATTCAATTTCTGTCAGCTTTCCTGTCGTTTTACTCTTCCACTACTGAGCCACCTCCCACTGACTTCACGTCTCTCTCATTATCAGACATAGATGAGTGTTCAGCGCCAGAACCTGGAGATGGCTCAGATCCACTCTGCTCTCAGATCTGCCTAAACACCCTTGGCTCATACCTCTGCTCCTGTCACCACGGCTTCGAGCTTCGCTCAGACCAGCGCACCTGTGTGTGTGAGTATTGTGCAGATACACACTTCCCATGTATGTACACATTAGAGCACTCAGGACTCAGGCTTTGTCAAACTGTTGTGACTCAATTTTCGACTACTTTAACTCACACGGACATCTATTTCAGTCAGAGACACTTTTGTCAAGGAACTGACCATTTTTGACATAAATTTTTACAATTAGATTTGGTAGAAAAGACTTTTCTCAGTTAACCCACTTAACAAAAACACCAAAAGCTTAACATGGCAACAACATTGGGATGATGGTATCAGCAGAATAGTCAATTAAAAGTGTCTGCAAATACAAAAATAATAATAAGGATAATATAATAGATCTTACTAGTAAGCATCTGATGAAAGAATGGTGACACATGAATGAAGCACGTGGTCAATCAGTAAGCTTTGCTGGAATAACATATTTGCTTTGTTTTTTAAAAGTTAGTTGAGAAGATTGTTGCCAGTTTATTAGGAACACCTAGCTAAAACTAATGCAATACAACAGTCCTGCAATAAATCCTACCCTCATGAAGGTTATAATGTTTGATATAAAGTGTTGGACATAATAACCGAAAAGCCGTCGATACAAGGCAATACAAAGCACCACTGCAGCCTCCACAATGACTGTACAGTTGAATCAACACCTCTCTAATATTTCAGCAGAAATGTAACATTGTAACCTTCATTAACATAACATTTATTGCTGGCCTGTTGTATTTGACTGAAATGATTGTTTCATTACTTTTCTGATGGTCTTACTTTTGAGCTCCACAGAGTTGAGGGGAACTTTCATCGGGATGTTATTTTTAAATTATTTTCAGTTAACCTTTATTTTACCAGGGAAGTCCCATTAAGACAGAGTTTCTTTTACAAGAGAGACATGGCCAAGAGAAAGCACAGTTAAATTTGCGGGGCCACTGTTAACATGGAAATATTGATTTTAGCAACATAAAGTTCATAAAGTCAAGGGCAACTTAACTTTAACCTTCTTTGGATAACTATGACATGGATGACTGAGAACCTTCACAGACTTCTTGGCAAACAACAGCCAGACATCGTGACTGTGTGCATCTTCTCTTATTCATGTCATTAAACTGAGGTTGCCAGGTTGTTTACCTGTACATGTGCTTGTACAGAGGTCTATAGGGCTATTGTATGAAAAACGACTTTCTTCCTTTTCCGATTGTGCAGTGTCCTGTGGCGGTGGTATATTTGATGAGCCAGAGGGACATCTGTTCAGTCCAGGGTATCCCAACCCCCCACCTCATGCAGTGTCCTGTCAGTACATTATTTCTGTAGAAAATGGCTTCACTGTCTCTCTTAACTTCACTGACAACTTCCACATCGAGAGTGTTGACACTCTGCAAGGCCCAGTCTGTCTCCATCACTGGTTACAGGTAATGACCATAGGTAATGATAAGCAGCTTCCAAACACTATGTATTTTTCTATGAATAAATGGAAATTAACGGAGCACCAAACAGATTATTTATGCAATAAATGAGCTGTGTACTAATCCTCTCTTAAAAGGTAACCATTCCAAACAGAGAGCCCATGAAGCTGTGTGGTGGAACGAGACCAGGTCTGATAGTCACAAACTCCAACACTGTCACTTTGGACTACCACACTGATAATGACGGCCAGAGCAATGGCTGGAGCCTGGACTACAGCACAAACAGTGAGGGAGAGAGGAATGAGAGTAGAAATAAGCCAATTGGAAATTAAACTGCAATTGATAGCCCTTCCAGGTCATGAGTGTCATTGTCAAAACATTTTGGCAATCAGTATGTTATTGCCATATTGTGTGATGCCAGTTAACGGTTAACAATAGATATACAGTTGATGTTACATGTCTGCTTGTCTCTGGTGTTTGTAGGGGTGAGGTGTCCATTTCCCGGTAATGTAGCTAAGGGCAGGGTCACTCCTATCTTGACCGAATATCTCTATAGAGACTATGTCTATGTGCGCTGTGAACAAGGATACAAGCTGATGATGGTAAGCTGAAACTTATTATGTCTAATACTTAACATCAACACACAGCACTTGTTTATTTGCCATTGTGTATATGATATAAAACAAATACTGAGCTGATATTTTATCATTTTACCTTCTTTTTCTGTCAGGATGGTCAGGAGCTGGACAGTTTCTCTACCATGTGCCAAAGCAATGCACAGTGGCACCTCCCTTTGCCAGAATGCCACAGTATGTTACCTTAAATGTAGAAATTTGTAAAATTAATGGAAACTTTGTTGTGATTCAACCACAGATTATGTCTTCTTCATAATTTTCCTGTGTCACTGGCAAAATATTAATATGTTCTTGTTTTGCTCTTCTACAGTAATTGACTGTGGAGAACCTGAACCTTTGCTGAATGGAGGAGTGACCTTCATGTCTGGCTTTCAGAATCAGTACCTTTCTGTTGTTCAGTATCACTGTAATGAACCATTTTACTCTCTCCTTGGGGGTGTAAATGGTAAGATATTTACATGTAAATATGGTGCAGAGTGTAATGTAGTGTTTTAGATTTGCCCTACCAATCATACTGGCAATTGGTTTCCATTGGCACACTCTTGAAACTTGTTTGAGTTTTATAATCCCTCAAGGGGAAATGCATTCATTTTCATCATTGTTACACATCATAGTGTGGTAATGCAGTGTAAGTAGCCTAAAGACTGATTTCACAGTAAGTCTTGCAGACTTGGTGTTTAATGTGATGAATACACAACTTAAGCAAAAAATGTGCTAATCAGTTTTCAATAGTACATAAATGAATGAAAACCAATGGAATCCTGGAAATACATTTAATACAAAATATATTTTTTAAAGCATTTACATAAGTGCATTTTACAAGCACAGTATTAGAAAAATGGTTAGGTGTGTGCTAATGCAAAGCTAATGGTCCCTAAAGAGTAATTACACACCAAGCTGAAAAACATAAGCATGACTAATGGGTGTGCTCAAAAGTGTGTTCTGTTGTACCTGTAACCACAACCACCGGTGATGTCACGGTGCACTTACACACCCTGGAGTACACTTCTACTTCACTGAAGCTAAAGATTAACGCCAAACCATTTTTTTCCTTTTGTCTTTTCTCTACTCTTTAGTTAGCTTCACCTGTGAAGCAGACAGAAAGTGGAGATCCAACAACGATATTGTAGTCAGTCCAACATGTATACCAGGTAAACCATGCCAAATATAATCTTGTTATTTGTCTACAATTATTCTTTAATTGTGTCTGTACTTGTGTGAAAGTTTACACATGTATTTATCTCATCCAGTCTGTGGCCAGCCTACAAAACACATCTCTGCCTATCAGAGGATCATTGGAGGAAGTGAAGCTCCAGAAAATACCATCCCCTGGCAAGTGTTACTGAGTGTACAAGGAGATAGAGGAGGAGGCATGGTGATTGGAGACCGCTGGATTATGACTGCAGCTCATGTCGTTAAGCATAAAGAAGTTGCATCAAACGATGTTATACAGGTAAGGCAATACATCATCATACCTAAATAGTAGGATAGATGGTTTGCCAATGATTCCCAAAATATCATATATGACTGCTGGAGAGAGTAGGCTACCAGTGACAGGCGTACCGGATGGTCATCATGGTAACAATAAGAAACACCTGGTTAACACTGTGGTAGAAACTGAAGTTGGGTTATATCATGTGACTCACAAAATGCAGTTTGATTAGGTTAAGGCACCAAAACCAAAACCACTTGGTTAAATAAGTAAGTTACTTAAGTTAAGTTAAATCATATAATGACTTATTAACACACATAAGTCAAAATAAGTCAACCTTGACTTTGAGTTGAGTTTTAGTTTCTCCTGGGTAAAAGTCCTGTGTTTGACACATCCATCTATTTATATACTGTGATTCTTAATGCTGAATCATTAATAGCTGCAAGCATGTAGGCCTAGGGCTGACTGTGAAAGTATCAGGCATGTTTTCTTATAATAATAATAATAATTATCATTATTGTCATATGTATGTCTCTCAGCTACGGCTGTCTTTGCGACCAGACCTTTCTTTTCTCTGTGAGAGGGAAGAATTTAGAAAGTTGCGTGTGGAGAGCCCCCAGCTGCAGTAGTGCATGGATCATGCGTAATATTCATCCAACCAGAGGGAACAATCACGAACCGTTCACAGCGCATCGGTCATACTAGCGACACAACCCGTACCAGAGAGGGAGTGGGGCGGACCACGGACAGAAGATCGCGGAGCAATCGTTCCCTCTGGCTGGATGAAGTCTGACACTCCGCATGATCCATGATGATAGAGAAATATTGAGATTAATGTTAATAAGGCATGCTGTCAATATTTTAGAGACTCCCCAAAATATCACAAATCATGCTTTTAGGGGAGCTGATGTCTTATTAAGGCTCCCCCTGGCTCACCTGTAGTTTGCACCCTGGTCAGTACCTATCAAAAGTGGTCCAAGGAAGGAAAAGTGGAAAACCAGCGGCAGGGTCATGGGCAGCCAAGGCTCATTGATGTATGTTGGGAATGAAGGTTGACCTGTGTGGTCTGATACAACAGACGAGCTATTGTAAGTCAAACTGCTGAAAAAGTTAATGCTGGTTATGATAGAAAGGTGTCAGAACACACAGTGCATCACAGTTTGTTGCATATGGGTGGTCTGACTGGTCTCAGGGTGCCCATGCTGACCCTTGTTCACAGCCGAAAGTATCCATAATGGGCATGTCAGCATCAGAACTGGATCACAGAGCAATGGAAGAAGGTGGCCTGGTCTGATGAATCACATTTCTTTAACATCACGTGGATGGCCGAGTGCGTGTGCATTGCTTACCTGGAGAACACATGGCACCGCGATGCACTAGAAGGCAAGCCGGCAGAGGCAATATTATGCTTTGGGCAATGTTCTGCTGGGAAACCTTGGGTCCTGCCATTCCCATGGATGTTAATTTGGCACTGACCATCTACCTGAGCATTGTTGAAGACCATGTACACCCTTTCATGGAAATGGTATTCCCTGATGGCAGTTTAGCAGGATAATGTGCCACAAAGCAAAGGAATCAGGAATCGTCTGTGCAACACAACAATGAGTTTACGGTGCTGACTTGGCCTCCAAATTCCCCAGATCTCAATCCAATCAAGAATCTGTGGGACATGCTCGCAACTTACTGCGCTCAAAGGATCTACTGCTAAGGTCTTGGTGCCAGATACCACAGCACACCTTCAGAGGTTTAGTAGAGTCCATGCCTCGACAGGTCAGGGCTGTTTTGGCGGCAAAAGGTGGACTTACACAATATTAGACAGGTCACCATAAAGGTATGGCAGCTAGGTGTAAATATAATAAGCTGCGTGCACAGATGACCTATTCAGCCTTATTTTAGGTGGAAGATAGTCTGAGTAAATAGGCTACTATAGATGTTATCTGCAAGCCTGTTGCCTTGATGTTTGAATTGACATTTATTTTCTCCTATTCTGTTGATTTGTAGATTTACATGGGACTTACTGAAATTAAAACCGGGAGTCTCTCTCCTGTGTTTGCCGCCTCTGTCCACGTTCACCCTGACTACAACAACCTCGATGATGCCTTAGACTACAACAATGACATTGCCTTGATCAAACTGCAAGACCCAATCACATTCAACTCATCTATTATGCCAGTATGTTTGCCTGCAGAAGGTGCTACATATGTCACTGGCATGATGGGGTAAATAATCAACTTCTGAGTTTCATTTCATAATCCTGCTCAATACATTTAATGTCTTCTTGTATTTTATTTATTTTCTTTGCTATTAGTTTTATGAACTGAATAAATTTACCTTTAATTTAAATCTTCTTTTTGATTTTTCCCTTTATTTTGCCAATATGTGAATCTTCTGGGCAGGAGACTCTGACAAGTTATTTTTTAGATCACCATTTACTGTCTCTTACATTTGTTTTTAGACTGGTGTCCGGCTTTGGTGTTACAGAAGCAGCCGGCAACACACGGATTTTAACAAATAAGTTGAAGTACGTGCACCTCCCTGTGGTGGAGCAGGAGACATGCAGTAATTCAATCACTTTGTTGAAGAGGACAAAGAGTGATGTACCAAGTCTGACAAATAACATGTTTTGTGCTGGAGTCCCTGAAGGTAAGAAGGACTCCTGCCAAGGTGACAGTGGAGGTCCCTTCACCCTGAGTGAAGACGGACGGTTCTGGGCTGCTGGGATTGTCAGCTGGGGGGTTAACTGTGGACAGAAGGGAACATATGGAGTCTACACCAGAGTTGCCAACTACCTGGACTGGATCAACAAGACTATGCAGGAGAACTGAAACTTTCAGTTACAAATTGATTTGAAGATATGTTGATGAAATAAAAGTAAAACCATACACATCTACAATAAAATAAGAAAAGATAACTAATTTTGCTATAACTATACTCTGCAATACATGTTGTGTCACAAAAAAGCTATGATTTAAGATAATCTTCCAGTTGACAATAACATGATCAAGTGGTAATAAGTGGTCTACTTTTCATGACAAGAACCATTTCAAAACATCCTAAAATCACTGAATGAATTTCATACTGATTGTAAAGACATCGCATTGTATTCAAATCTCCCAAAAAGCATTTTTAATAAAGTGACATATTACAGACTTACATGTGCCTTTTCATGCATGTATCTTAGATTAGACACAGATCTTCTTTCTGGTAAATATGATAACCAGATTAGCATCTACATCAACACCCTCTTACCAACTTGTCACTGTAATACTTTGCACACTGACAGATGCCACTATTGCATATTGTTGGTTATTACTCTCTATGTCTACAGTACTAGTGAATGCTAGACCAAGATGGCAGGCTCTCCTTCCATTCACTTTTTACAGTTTTCATTGTACTGTGCACTGTGCTGATTCTTCTACTCTACTGCACACAAACTCTGTTTTACTCCTCATTCTTATAGTTTGGTTAGTCAGTTATTGAGTCATTGCTGCCCCTGTTCTTTTCCAATTCATACCTGCATTTATTTTTGCCAAGACAAACAAACCCTGGAGGTTAAATTCCATTGCAAAATACTACAAACTACAGCCACGTGACGTTCATGTCATTTTACCTAAAACTGTGCACAGGGACACACTTGTTGAAAACATGGGGTGGACCTTCTGTGTTATATGGTAAGCATGGTAATTTTTTTCACCTTTGTATAGCACTACTATAGCCTCAGCAGCATTGTTAAAATCTGGTCCAAGATTACTAGGGTCCAGCTGACAGACCTGAGCTCCCTTTGGAAAAAACGGGTGGTCCAGAAGGCTAGACAGGTCATTCTGACCATGTTCTGAGTCAGGAATTCTGTTAAATGCCCTTGGGATGGTGCTACCTCGCCCCCCATGGAAAAACTAACCAATGACCTGAGAGGCATTGTGTATTTACTTATTTATTATTTACTTAGGTATTTAATTCCTTTAATTAGTGTCCATACTTGGTCCATGCATGGTGACCTGTGAATTGCTGCTTTGCTCTGTGCCCAAATGCTTATATGTTGTCACTGACAGCATGTCTGAATGTTTGATTGATTGTGGTTGTTTGTTTTTATTTTGTTTTTTACGACTGGTAGACTGAAACTGAAATGCCCTATGGGAGTAAAGTTGTTTGAATTGAATTGAACTGAATTGATATTTAAATAAAACTAAAGCAAAACTACATGGTTGGAAAATTAAAAAAATGTGTTCGTTTTCTGTTTGCATAAACTCAGCAGCATTTGAGTTTCAACTCTCTGTTTATTCACAATTCCAGGTTTCTGTGTTTGCCAGTGAGTGAGTGCTGGCAGCTACCTGACTCTGAGCCTGTAATGCACGGGGAGGTCCAGTCTCCTCAGTATCCCCGGCCTTACCATCCCAACTTGCTGAAGTACTGGGACCTTTTCGTTCCTGAGGGCTACCAGATCCAGCTGTCCCTGACACACCTGGATATTAAAACTTCCTCGGGCTGCTATCAAGACTCTTTGACGGTCAGAGCCATAGTGAAACTTAATATTATACAATATTCCAACAAATAAAAAACAATAAATCAGTGTTTTTGTACTCAAGACCAGAACCCAAATTTTAGTCTTAATATCTATTACTCAACTTTGACTTGAGTGCTGACCTGTACAAACTGGGGTATTGAATTGGAACCATGACTCCATCACTTTTGCCATCCAACCATCCTTTTTCAGTCTCTCTTATCCAGTGCCGGGTCATGGTGGCAGATATCCTCTCCCCAGCAACGTTTCACAATGATATATAATCTATCCTGTGTGTTCTGAGTCTATCTCGGGCTCTCTTATCAGTTGGATGTGCCCAAGAGGCATCCTGATCAGATAACCACCTCATGTGACTCCTTTCCATCTGACAGCTCTACTCCAAGCTCTCTCCGGATGGCTGAGCTCCTTACCTTATCTCTAAGAGCCACATGAATATGCATACTTATTCTTTTGCTCTCTACACAGAGCCCACGGCCATAGGTGAGAGCTGAAACATAGATTCACTGGTACATCAAAAGCTTTGCCTTCCTGGTCAGTTTCCTCTCCACCACAACTGCTACAATGTCATATTCTAATCTAATCTCATATTATTGCTGATGTTGTTTCAATCCACCTGTCAATCTCAGACTCCAATTTACCCTCAACTTGTGAGCAAGACTCCATGATCCTGGAACTCCTTCACTTGGGGCAGCAATTCACTACCAACCCGGAGGTGGAAATCTGTTTTCTGACAGAGAAACATGGTCTCAGAGACTTTGAGCTGCTGACTCTCCTCTTGACTGGTTCACACTTGACTGCAAACCGCTCCATTGAGTGCTGAATAGGTCTGATTTATAGTGATGAGGTCTGATGAAGCTAACAGAACGCCCAATGAAAACGTGAGAGAACCACCAGCCAAGACAGCCCAACAATGTCCTGAGACTCATTCGCAATTTGTGCCTTGCTGCAGAGGAGCATGTGAGTTCCTTCCAGGCTCTTTCCATGGCTCAACAGTATGCCCAGTCAGGGTCAGCAGTTCTCTTCCCCTACTGAACATACCCTGAGTGTCCAAGACAAACAGCAAGAGATCTGATGATACAACCACAAACCCGATCATCAACTTTTAGCCTAAGGTGTCTGGTGAGTGTTCCTGCTCGAACATGGTGTTTGTTATGTCTAATCAGCACAGCACAGTAGTCCAAAAAGAGAGCACAACTTTGGTTTATATTGGGCAGACCATCTTCCTATCATCCCCTCCCGGTTTCTCCATCATTGCCCATGTGAACGTTGAAGTCCTGCAGCAGAACTATAGAGGCCCTATTGGTATCCTTTCCAGGACTCCACTTAGATACTCTAAGGGCCGGATTTACTAACATCCCAAATAAAAAGAGTACTAAATTGCGTGTGCATTCTAAAATATTGCACGTGCAATTGTAGGACCTGTTATGGGTGATCAACTAAGAATTGTTGTGTAGACAGCAACAGGTGCAAACACAATGGAGGTGGGAGTATTTAAATGAGGCTTCTGCGTGTTTTAATGGTTTCCGGGAGGGAAAGCAGCCAATACGTAAAAACCTTGGTTTGTTTCAGTCTGTGCGTCCTGAGCATGTGGAAATCATATGTACCTGACCATCAGACCTAAAATTGCACTACTTGGGACAGCACACCTTAAATACTGCTTTGGGAAACCCCAGCAGAAACAGATACAGTATGCTGGAATGACCCAGACACAAGGAAATGCAGGCAGATTGTGCTTCTTCCTATGAAGCCTGAATACTCCAAACTAGGGCTGCATGATATTAGAAAACTGACAATGTGATATTTTTCTTTTCTGCGATATATATTGCAATATAGAAAAGACAGAAATTTAACCAGATGAGACTATCCTTTCTAGAACTTTAATTCAGTCAACATATTTCAACAACTGAAAAAAAAAGAGCAGCTAAACACCAGCCCACTTTCAAAAGTTGCTTTTCTTTTTGGAACCAAATCCGCTATTTCAGTGGTTTTCTCCTGTTCCTCACTCATTTTCAAGATGTTTTCCACAACTAATGGGGGTGGGGCCTGCTTTGGTTATTTGATAAACTGATTATTCTGTCCTGGCAGATACGTCACAGTATTGTTAGACAGATAGCGAACTTTAACAATAAGACTCAGTAGGCTGAACTCCCTTCGTAGTACAGGCCACAGGCCACAGGCCACGGGGTTAAGTGTTTTCTATACTGAAATCCTGATTGTTTGCTTTTTGTAAAACTGCAATACAGTATAAAACATGTTACAGGCAAAAATGTGCAACATCAACATAAGTATATATGTATACATAATATGATTCACTCAAAGAACATAAGCAAATTAGCTAAATAAAACACAGGCAAGTAAATCATCATAAATTAGGCTTAACAGCCTGTGCTAACTCTGTAGCCTATATTTAGCCCAGCTAAACCCATGATAACGGTTAGCATGGTGATTAGCATTAGGAGGAGTCAGAACACTGATTAAGAACGATATTGTGATTGGCGGTTCCCTGTGCATGCACAGCCTGCTTGTCACTCACTAGCAACAAACTGTATCCAAGAACCCTTAAATTGGAGTAAATTATGTTACATCAGACAGACTTCTCTTGTAGATTAGTCATGAAAAATGAGAACCATGAGTTTTCCTTTTGTATCAAGCAGCAAAAAAGTTCAGGTGGTTGAGTTAATTTGACTTGCTTGGTATTGTATTGTTCTGTGATGTGATGTGACTATTGCGCATGGGCACATCATGATGCTCAAACGATATATTGTGCAGCCCTACTCCAAACTGTTATTTAGTGCATAGGCACACACAACAGGCAGAGCCTTCATCTCAGCACCTTGTAGTCGCATAGATGTGACCATATAATTCTCCGAGGAACAGAGAAGTGAAATGGCAGATCAACTAGGGGCTAAGGAGTCACTCTGACAACAGATGAGCCTCATTCATTGATCCATTAAGTACACTTAGACTTTAACTCAAGGGTTTTACTGCTACAACCTTACTAGTTCCGGTATGACCAATGACTTATTGTGGATAGTGTTAGCAAATCTGACCACATCCCTGGCCGTTAGGCTACTAATATCTTGTACCAACCAGCTAGATGATGTCATTACTGATATTTTTAACATCTCACTTTCACTGGAGAGTGTTCTTACCCGCTTCAAAACAACCACCGTTGTTATTGTGCCTGAGAAGTCTGCAGTGTCTTGTCTAAATGACTAATGTCCTATGGCAAGTTCTTTCAGAAACTGGATTCCTAGCATATCAAAAACAACATCCCAGGTAGTTTGGACCCTCACCAGTTTGCATTCTGAACCGTCAGATCCACAAAGGATCTCCACTTTCCTTCTGCTTCACAGGTGAAGAGGATCTCCACTGCCCTCTAATCAAGTGTTCACTCACCTTGAAGCACAGACATCAGAATGCTGTTTACTGATTTCAGCTCAGCATTCCACACAGTGTCCTCCATTAATTAAGATGATTTTCTGAATTTTAGCACCCTTGGCTTGTGTACCACACTGACCTGCAACTGGATATTGGACATCCTCAGACAGTTTCAATTGTCATTCACATCTTCTCCGCTCTAGTGCTCAACACCAGAGCTCCTCAGGACTATCTACTCAGCCACCTCCATGACTGCAACCCCTGATATGGAGAGTACTCTGTTGTGAATTTAGTGGACGACACCACAGTCATCGGCTGGATATCAAACAATGATGATTATTTATGTTGGCAGTAAATCAACAATCTTGCAGATTTGTGCACAGAGACCAACTCACTGCTCAGTGTCAACTAAACCAAGGAGCTCATCATTTATTTTAGAAAGAAGACAGAGAAGACACATACCCCTGTCTCCATCAGTGGAGTTCAGGTGGACCAGTTGAACAGTTTCAGGTATAGAAGCAATCCAGCTTCTTTCCCCAGGCTGTGAGACATTTAAAATCACCCCCCTTACTCCCTCAAAATTAATATTTTTTTTATGTCTTGCTCTGTGTTGTTTGTGTGTGTGTAGCATAACAGGATTACAAATGTTAATTTGGTTATACAGTACAATCGTGTGTTGTAAAATGACCATTAAATGAACCCTTGAACCCATGAGTAAATATTGTTCCTTCGCTTACTTTATGACTTCTGCACTCTTGTTCTACTTTTGACAACTTTATTTGTTAAGCATTTTAGCGAACTGTGTTTGTCAGAAAGTACACTTACACTGCCTTTGTCTCCTGCCAGGCCGTTATTGTAAATAAGAAACTGTTCTTAATTAACTTGCCTGGTAAAATAAAGGTATAATAAAATTTTTGCCCTTTGTACTGTGCAGGTTCTCCATGATCAAAAGGTCTTGTGGAAGTTTTGTGGCCAGGAAATTTCACGTGATCACAGAGGCCAAGAGCAGATCCTTTCTCAAGGCAACAGACTGACTCTCATTTTCCAAACAAGTAACTCCACTCCAGAGTTCCAACAGCACATCGGCTTCTCTGCTACCTACAAGGCAATAGGTAGAGTTTTTCACTTCCCTCGCACACTGGTTTCTACAATTACACTGAACAAAATTATAAACGCAGCACTTTTGGTTTTGCCTCCATTCATCATGAGCTGAACTCAAAGATCTAAGACTTTCTCTATGTACACAAAAGGCCTATTTCTCTCAAATATTGTTCACAAATCTGCAAAAATCTGTTAGTGAGCACTTCTCCTATGCTGAGATAATCCATCCACCTCACAGATGCAGCATATCAAGATGCTGATCAGACAGCATGGGTATTGCACAGGTGTGCCTTAGGCTGGCCACAATAAAAGGCCACTCAAAAATGTTTAGTTCCATCACACAGCACAATGCCACAGATGTCGCAAGTTTTGAGGGAGCGTACAATTCGCATGCTGACTGCAGGAATATCCACCAGAGCTGTTGTCGTGAATTGAAGTTCAATTCTCTACCAAAAGCCGTCTCCAAAGGCGTTTCAGAGAATTTGGCAGTACATCCAACCAGCCTTACAACCACAGACCACATGTAATCAAACCAGCCCAGGACCTCCACATCCAGCATCTTCACCTCCAAGTTCGTCTGAGACCAGCCACCCGGACAGCTGCTGCAACAATGGGTTTGCATAACCAAAGAATTTCTGCACAAACTGTGACCGTCTCAAGGAAGCTCATCTGCATGCTCGTTGTCCTCATCGGGGTCTCGACCTGACTGCATATTCACACAGCCATTGAAGAGGAGTGGACCAACATTTCACAGACCACAATCAACAACCTGATCAACTCTATATGAAGGAGATGTGTTGCACTGTGTGAGGGAAAATGGTGATCACACCAGATATTGACTAGTTTCCAGGCCCTCCCAATACAGTGAAACTGCACATTTTAGAATGGCCTTTTATTGTGGCCAGCCTAAGGCACACCTGTACAATACCCATGCTGTCTGATCAGCATCTTGATATGCTACACTTGTGAGGTGGATGGATTATCTCGGTAAAGGAGAAGTACTCACTAACACAGATTTTGACAGATTTGTGAACATTTGAGAGAAATAGGCCTTTTGCTTACATAGAGAAAGTTCTTTCAGTTCAGATCATGATGAATGGGGGCAAAAACAAAAGTGTTAGGTTTATAATTTTGTTCAGTATAGTTATTTCTCCCAACCTTCAAGAAAAATTCCATCTTAAAAAATAATTAACACAGTGCTTTTCCAGGTATTTTGGTCAGTGTGATTAATATCAACAAACGTATAAAACTAAGCTAATGAACAATATAAACATACAATAACCTAAATTTACCTTTAGGGTAGGTTCTGCCTTTACTGACCTTCTCATTATCAGACATAGATGAGTGTTCAAAACCAGACTCTGGAGATGGCTCAGGTCCAATCTGCTCTCAGATCTGCATCAACACCCCTGGCTCTTACCGCTGCTCCTGCCACCGTGGTTATAATCTTCATTTAGACCAGCGCACGTGTTTGTGTGAGTAATATATACAGTTATTGCATGCTTCTTTGTATGTACTTCAATGTGTATTATTCTCAGTAGTTAAAGCACGGCCAATGAGTCAGTGCAAAAAAATCCACATTTTGAGTTGATCTACTGAAATTCTTTTTCTTGCTACATATATAACATTTGATTTTGCCCCTTGTCAAGTATCCTGTGGTGGTTTTTTTGACAAGCATGAGGGACATCTGTCCAGTCCAAGGTACCCTCACCCCTCACCTCCTTTTCTGTACTGCAAGTACATCATCTCTGTGGAGCCCAGATTCACTGTCACTCTCAACTTCACTGACAACTTCCACATAGAGAGCATGGACACTCAGCAGGGTCCTAGGTGTCTACATCACTGGCTGCAGGTATTGGCAAAGGGCTTCTTTACAACCAATGACAATAAAGAGGGCAACTCTAATATGCCTGTATATACATTTCTTTTTTACTACTCCTGTTGAAGGTGACCATCCCAGACAGAGAGCCCATGAAGCTGTGTGGTGGAAAGAGTCCAGGTCTGATAGCTACAAATTTCAGTACTGTCAGACTGGACTACCACACTGATAATGAAGGCCTGAGTCACGGCTGGAGCCTGGACTACAGCGCAGATGGTGAGGGACCAAGGAAGAAAAACATGGTGTTTCATTTAGTTGATGGGAAAATTGGTAACAGTCACATCTACAGTTGTAGATATGAGATTAATGTGTGGTTATCACATCCAGAGATCAAATATCCATTTCCGAGGAACATGGCTAAAGGCAGAGTGACTCTTGTCTTAGTGAATATTTCTAAATATTCACTAAAGATTTAACTAAATCTATGTGACCTGTGACTGAGAATACAAGCTGATGACAGTTTGATGTTTTCTTTCTTTTACTGGCAAAATATTAATATGTCCTTGTTTTGTTCTTCTGCAGAAGTTGACTGTGGAGAACCCGAACCTTTGCTGAATGGAGGAGTGACCTTCCTGTCTGGCTTTCAGAATCAGTATGGTTCTGTTGTTCAGTATCACTGCAATGAACCTTTTTACTCTCTCCCTGGGGGCGTTAATGGTGAGGTATTTATGTATATTATTCAAAAAATATAATTATTAAAAATGACAAATGTTGATATAGATTAACTAAAATAAGTGCCATTCTCTTGTTTCCTCTGGTCTCCAGTTAGTTTCACCTGTGAAGCAGAAGGAAAGTGGAGATCCAACCACACCGATGTCACTCCAACATGTATACCTGGTATTGATCTGCTGCCAAAATAAAACCATGTGGTGCTTAATCTATGCTCCTAAATTAATGCATATTTGAACTTAATTTATGTCTGTCTCATTTAGTCTGTGGCAAGCCTACAAAACTCATCACTGCTTATCAGAGGATCATTGGAGGCAGGCAAGCTTCAGACAATACTATCCCCTGGCAAGTGTTACTGAATATAGACGGAAGAAGGGGAGGAGGCATGGTGATTGCAGACCACTGGATTATGACTGCAGCTCATGACCTAACACATAATGGAAAACCAGTATTAAAAGAGGCTATACGGGTGAGTGGGATACTGTGTTATCTCCATGTTCATTGACTCCATGTTTTTGAACTGACATTTATTTTCTTGTATGCTTTTGATTTGCAGATTTACATGGGGGTTATTGATGTTAAAACTCAGAGACTCTCTCCTGTGTATGCTGCCTCTGTCCATATGCACCCTGAATACAACAACCCCAATGACTTAGACTACGACAATGACATTGCCTTGATCAAACTGCAAGACTCGATCACATTCAACTCATCCATAATGCCAATATGTTTGCCAGCAGAGGGTGCCACATACGTCACTGGCATGATGGGGTAAAAGAGTTTTGATTTCATAATGCTGCATAATCCATTTGAAATTCTTTAAAATCAATTGTCAGTTGTCTTTTTTTGCCAACATGTTAATCATGTCCAGCCTCTAGACAGAAGAAGAACATTGCTGCCTGTTCTAGATTTTTGTTTTTTGTTTTTTTCAGACTGGTGTCAGGCTTTGGCATTATGGAAATTTACCCCCCACGGTTAACAAATAAGCTGAAGTACGTGCAACTCCCTGTTGTGGAGCAGGAGACATGCAATAATTCATTCACTTTGTTGAAGAAGACAAGGCAAAATATACCAAGTCTGACAAATAACATGTTTTGTGCTGGAGTCCCTGAAAGTGGGAAGGACTCCTGCTTAGGTGATAATGGAGGTGCCTTTGCCCTGAGTGACAAGGGACAGTTCTGGGCTGCTGGGATTGTCAGCTGGGGGATTGCATGTGGACAGCAGGGAACATATGGAGTCTACACCAGAGTTGCCAACTACCTGGACTGGATCAAGAAGACTATGCAGGAGAACTGAAATTTACATTTTCAGTTACAAAGTGATCTGAAGACGTTGATGAAATACTAGTCAAAACAAACAGATCTACAATAAAATGAGGAAAAAGAGGACTAATTTTGCTGGAATTATACTCTGCCTTCAGTTTTAATACATATTGTGTCACAAAAAGCAATGAATTAAGATAATCTTCCAGTTAACAATAAAATTATTATCAAGTTGTAATTTCTATTTGTCATAATAAGTAGCAATTCCAAAGTTCCTGAAATGATTGAATCAATGTCAAAATGACTGTGAAGTCATCGCTGTGTAGTTAAATGTCCCAAAAGCATTATTTTAAGTGACATAATCTAGTGTTACATGTCCCTTTTCATACAAGTAGCTCAGATTAATCCCAGCTCTATAATTGATAACATAATTCAATGCTCTGTCACATTGGAATCTATTACTATCTATGAGTTGCACTTTTAATCTGTGGAGCCAGTAAGTTCTTATAACATTCTTGTAAGATTCAACTCTGCAAGTGAGAGTTTATAAGCCATTATTGGACCCGGTCTTCTCAAATTTATGCCTGCATTTACTTTTGCCAAGACAAATAAACCCTGGAGGTTAAATTCCATTACAAAATACTATAAACTACAGCCTGCGTGACATTAATGGTCCATTGGTGCATGAGACATTTTTCCTAAAACTGCTGTCACACATATATAAAGTTATTGCAAACATGGGATGGACCTACTGTGTAATATGGTAAGCTTGGTCAACTTCTTTTACCTTTATGTTGCATGTTTTAATGAATCTATCTTAAACAAATGCATTATATACATATTATTAGTGTGGAACTACACCAGAGCACTGTTTATGAGCAGTTTTTTAAGGTTGACTATAAGTAACCCATTTTTCAAAATACCATGTACAAAACTATAGTAATACTATGTGGTTGCAAATGTTTAAAATGATTGTGTAACTTTGTTCTTTTTCTGTTTGCATCAACTTCGGACCAGCAGCTTAGTTCCAACTCTCTGTTTATGTACAATTCCAGGTTTCTGTTTTTGTCAGTGAGTGAGTGCTGGCAGCTGCCCAACTCTGAGCCTGTAATACATGGGGAGGTCCAGTCTCCTCAGTATCCACGGCCTTACCTTCCCAACCTCCTGAAGCAATGGGACCTCTGGGTTCCTGAGGGCTACCAGATCCAGCTGTCCCTGACACACCTGGATATTAAAGCTACTTTGGGCTGCTATCAAGACTCACTGACGGTCAGAGCCATACTATAACCTAATATTATATTATATTCTAAACAACAGATCAGTGTATTTGAACTCCAGAACGTAAATTTCAGTCTTAATATTTATTACTTAACTTTGACTTGAGTACTGAAGACCTGTACATACTGGGGTGTTTAATTGAAACCAGGGACTCCATCACTTTTTTCATCCATCCATCCATCCATCCATTTTCTGCTGCCTATCCAGGGTCAGCTCATTGTGACAGAAGGCTGTGAAATGGAATCCAGACATCCCTCTCCCCAGCATTATTTTCCTCTTGGGGAATCCAGAGGTGTTTTGATGCCAGATGAGATATATAAGGAGCAGCACTCTACTCTAAGCTCCCTCGCGATGTAGATGGTTACCCTATCTCTAAGGGTGAGCCCAGCAATGCTGCAGAGGAAACTAATTTCAGCCGTGTGTATGCGCAAGATTATAACCATGGGTGAGGGATGGAATGTAGATCAAGTGATAAATTGAAAGCCTTGCTTTCTGGCTAAGCCCCCTGTTCACCACAACCGTCTATTAGAGTGACTTTCACACCTGTTATCCCATACTCCTGCAGTACATACCGACAGGACTCCCAGGGGGAAACAGTCATAAGCCTTCTCCAAGTCCACACAACACATGTACACTGGATGGCCAAACTCCCAGGCCTATTGTCCCTTCTGATGTGAGGTTCGACAACCAGTCGGAAACCTCCTTTCCAGTACAAGGGCACACGCTTTCCCTGGGAGGATTAGCAGTGTCATACCCCGAAAATAGGAGCACACCCTCCAGTCTGCCAACTCACAAGTCACTGTCCTTGACCTTCACGTGACACTGAAGAGGCATGTCAGCCAAAACAGCCCAACAATGCCTTCAGCATCTCAGGGTGAATCTCATTCACAAATGGCACCTTATAAATAATGTCACACACCTTGCCAGAGTGTGAAACACTTTACCTGACCTTTGACGGAACTGCGTTTGTCAGGGAGTGCCTGAGCATGATCTATGGTCTCATAATGTCTTTCTTTGATCTTTGCACTTTTCAGGTTCTCTATGATCAAAAGGTCTTGGGGAAGTTCTGTGGCCAAGAAAATTCAACTGATCACCCAGGCCAAGAGTCAGTCCTTTCTCAAGGCAACAGAATGACTCTCATATTCCAAACAGGTGACTCCACCCCAGAGGACCAACAGCACATTGGCTTCTCTGCTGCCTACAAGGCAATAGGTAAGAGTTTTTCTTGCCACTGCCCTCGTCCCTACAATGCATTATGCCCATGAAACTTCATGGAAATTTCTAACAGTAATTTCCAGCAGTTCAAGTTATTTTATACAGAATTACAGCAAAGCAATGAAAGACCAATGGCTCCCTCCAGCATTACATAATCAAATGTACTCGTATTGAAGTGAATTCCTCACTAATGTTGTCATTGTGTCCTGGCATTTGTTGAGTCATTATTGGTGGACCAGCTCCAAGATTTGTGTCTCTGCAATGCATACTGTGTCACAAAAAACTAAACTAAAAAAAACTTCCCGTCGACAACAAAATGATTAAGTTGTAGCTTATTTCTACTCCTAATTAGTAGCATTTCCAATTGCTTTAAAAGTATTGAATGAATGTCATACTTGTTGTAAAGTCATTGCATTTCATTTAAATGTCCCAATAGTATTTATTTTAAATAAAGTCACATAATACAGACTTTCATGTGCCTTTTTAATGCAAATACCTCAGATTAGTCATATCTTCTCTCTGGTAAATGGATTATTATTATTTCTATAGATGACGCATTCAAATTCACAAATTAGAATTAAACCAAACAACAATATAAATATACAATTAGGCCTACCTAAATTCAGGAGCAATTGCTTTGCACTCTGCTCACTGCACTATTTGTCAATGTGTCTATATTGTTTTTTTACAGTGTGTCTATTTGTGTTGTCTACACTGAAGCCTCTGTCTTATTTATTTTATTATTGTGTTATTGTATTATTGCATGAGTAAGCACATCTTAAGCAATGTACAATCCCGAGTCAAATGTACACATCATGTACACATACCTGGCAATAAGCTGATACTGATCTTCTGATCTTTGGATCTAAATTAAACTTCAGGGTAGGTTCTGCCTTTACTGACCTTCTCATTATCAGACATAGATGAGTGTTCAAAACCAGACTCTGAAGATGGCTCAGGTCCACTTTGCTCTCAGATCTGCATCAACACCCCCGGCTCTTACCGCTGCTCCTGCCACTATGATTACAAACTTCATTTAGATCAGCGCACATGTTTGTGTGAGTACAGTATACAGTAAATGCATTCTTCTTTTTTGTATGTACCTTATTGTGTGTTATTCTCAGTAGTTAAAGCATGGCATTAATGCTGCTGAGTCAGTCTTAAAACAAGTCATTAATTTTGAAGTGAACTGCTGAATCTCTTCTTTTTTTTTTTGCCTGTTGTCCAGTATCCTGTGGAGGTTGTATATTTGACAAACATGAGGGACATCTGTCCAGTCCAGGGTACCCTCGTCCCTCACCTCCTTTTCTGTCCTGCAAGTACATCATCTCTGTGGAGCCCAGATTCACTGTCACTCTCAACTTCACTGACAACTTCCACATAGAGAGCATGGACACTCAGCAGGGTCCCAAGTGTCTACATCACTGGCTGCAGGTATTGGCAAAGGGCTTCTTTACAACCAATGACAATAAAAAGAGGGCAACTCTGATATGTCTCAGTGTATATAAATAAACTTTCTACTACTACTCTCATAGGTGACAATTCCAGATAGGGAGCCCATGAAGCTGTGTGGTGGAAAGAGTCCAGGTCTGATAGCTACAAATTCCAGTACTGTCAGACTGGACTACCACACTGATAATGAAGGCCTGAGTCACGGTTGGAGCCTGGACTACAGCACAGATGGTGAGGGACCAAGGAAGAGAGACACAGTGTTTTGTTTGGTTGATTGTTTTGGACAGCAACAGTTTTATAATGGAAAATATATGATTAATTTTTGGTTATGACGTCGTTTCCAGTTGTCAAATATCCATTGAAGAAATGTGGCTAAAGACAGAGTGACTCCCGTCATAACTGAATATTTCTACAGAGACATAACTGAATATTTCTACAGAGACTACATCTATGTGACCTGTGACCGAGGATACAAGCTGATGATGGTTTGATATTTTCTTTCTTTCACAGAAAATGTTAACATGCTCTGGTTTTGTTCTTCTGCAGTAATTGATTGTGGAGAACCCGAACCTTTGCTGAATGGAGGAGTGACCTTCCTGTCTGGCTTTCAGAATCAGTATGGTTCTGTTGTTCAGTATCACTGTAATGAACCTTTTTACTCTCTCCCTGGGGGCGTAAATGGTGAGATATTTAGATATACTGTTCAAAAAGTATCATTAATAAAAATGTAAATTTCAGATATAGCTTATTTAAAAATAAATGCAATTCTTCCTGTTCCCTCTGGTCTCCAGTTAGTTTCACCTGTGAAGCAGACAGAAAGTGGAGATCTAACCACATCAATGTCACACTGACATGTATACCTGGTATTGTATAACCTTATGCTGTTTAATAATAAATAAACTACCTTGTCCCTTGAACTTGTATTGAAAATCTGTGATAACTAATCTAGGATGCTTTAGTTAAAACATGAACATGAGATTTCTGTGTCTTTGTAAACCTAATTTCTGTCTGTCTCATCCAGTCTGTGGACAGCCTACAAAACTCCTCTCTGCCTATCAGAGGATCATTGGAGGCAGCAACGCTCCAGACAAAACCATCCCCTGGCAAGTGTTACTGAGTGTAGATGGACAAAGAGCAGGAGGCATGGTGATTGCAGACCGCTGGATTATGACTGCAGCTCATAACCTAAAGAATAAAGAACAAGAAGTATCAAATGAGGCTGTGCGGGTAGGTGTATATAGGTGTTATCTCCATGCAAATTGCCACAATTTTGTTTCATGCATTGATGATTTTCTCCTATTCTGTTGATTTGCAGATTTACATGGGACTTACTGAAATTAAAACCGAGAGTCTCTCTCCTGTGTTTGCCGCCTCTGTCCACGTTCACCCTGACTACAACAACCTCGATGATGACTTAGACTACAACAATGACATCGCCTTGATCAAGCTACAAGACCCAATCATATTTAACTCATCTATTATGCCTATATGTTTGCCAGCAGAGGATGCTACATACATCACTGGGAGGATGGGGTAAAGAAACAACTTCTTGGTTTAATTTCATAATGCTACATAATCCATTTAATAAATTATTTAAATTCTCTGCTTTTAGTTTTGTGACCTCAATAACTTTAGCCAGGATTCAGATCTTCTTTTTGCCTTTTTCTCTTATTGTGCCAACATGTGAATCTTCTGGAGACACTGATTTGCTTTGTTCAATTGAATTCACCATAGCTGTCTCTACTAAATTTTTTTCAGACTGGTTTCCGGCTTTGGCGTTACAGAAACAGAACACAAAATACAGATTTTAACAAATAAACTGAAGTATGTGCACCTTCCTGTTGTGGAGCAGGAGACATGCAGAAATTCATTCACTTTGTTGAAGAGGACCGGTGACAATATACCAAGTCTGACAAATAAAATGTTTTGTGCTGGAGTCCCTGAAGGTGGGAAGGACTCCTGCCAAGGTGATGCTGGAAGCCCCTTTGCCCTGAGTGACAACGGACATTTCTGGGCTGCTGGGATTTCCAGCTGGGGCATTGACTGCGGTCAACAGGGAACATATGGAGTCTACACCAGAGTTGCCACCTACCTGGACTGGATCAACAAGACTATGCAGGAGAATTGAAATGTAAATTTTCAGTTACAAAGTGATTTGAAGATATTGACAAAACAAAAGTAAACTAACACATCTACAAAAAGAGAACAAATTTTGCTCTAAATATAATCTGCCTTTAGTTTTAATAAATACTTTGTCACAAAAAGCTATGAATTAAGATAATCTTCTAGTTAACAATAAAATTATTATCAAGTTGTAATTTCAACTTTTCATGACAAGAACCATTTACTTACAATAAATAAATTTACTTACTGTAAAGTCATTGCATTGTATTGAAATCTCCCGTAAAGCATTTTTAAATAAAGTGACTTACATGTCCCTTTTCATGCAGGTATCTCAGATTATTCATAGATCGTCTCACTGGTAAAGTTTATTACTGGATTAGTGCCTTTTTCAACTCCCTCTCACAGATTTGGTGTTTGTCAGTCACTGTAATACCTTGCACTATTTGATATTGTTGTTAATTACTCGGTGTTTCTACAGTACTAGTTTGTACTAGTTACTTCATCTCTCTTCATGAACTCTCCAAAATGGTAGGCTCTCCTTCCATTAACGTTTTTGCCATTCTTACTGTACTCTGCAGTATGCTCATAATGTGAAACTTACTGTACACAAACTTTATTTTACTTCTCATTTTTCTAGTCCACTTAGTCAGTTGTGGAGCCATTATTGGCCCTGTTCTTCTCCAATTCATACCTGCATTTAATTTTGCCAAAACAAACAATCCCTGGAGGTTAAATTCCATTGCAAATTCTACAAACCACAGCCTGTGTGACATTATGGTCCATTTGTGCATGAGACATTAACCTAAAACAGCAGTCACACAGAATTTATTGCAAACATGGGATGGACCTACTGTGTAATATGGTAAGCTTGGGCAAATCTTTTTACCTGCATGTTACATGTTTTAGTTTAGATTTTTTCTTTTTCATGAATTTCTCTTTGTTTTAAATTTAAGTATATACACCATATAAGTGGAAGTACATTACATCCCTGTCCATGAGCAGTTTTTTAAGGTTGACTATAATGCATTTCTCAAAACACCATACACAAAACTAAAGTTGTGAATGTGAACTAAATGTGGTTCCAAATGTTAAAATTGATTGTATTACTTTGTTTGTTCTTTTTCTGTTTGCATCAACTTTGGACCAGCAGCTTTGTCACAACTCTCTGTTTATGTACAATTCCAGGTTTCTGTGTTTGTCAGTGAGTGAGTGCTGGCAGCTGCCCAACTCTGAGCCTGTAATACATGGGGAGGTCCAGTCTCCTCAGTATCCCGGGCCTTACCTTCCCAACCTGCTGAAGGAATGGGACATCTTGGTTCCTGAGGGCTACCAGATCCAGCTGTCCCTAACAAACCTGGATATTAAAGCTACTTTGGGCTGCTATCAAGACTCACTGACGGTCAGAGTCATACTACAACCTAATATTATACAATATTCCAAACAATAGATCAGTGTTTTTGTACTCAAGTCCAGAACCTGAATTTGAAACTTAATATTTATTACTTGACTTTGAATAGTGTAATGATGACCTGCACAAATTGGGTTCATAACTTGGAACCAGGGACTCAATCACTTTTTCCATCCATCCATCCATCCATCCATCCATTCATCCATCCATCCATCCATTTTCTGCCACGTATCATGGACAGAGTTGTTTTGCCAGCAGGCTAAGCAAGGGAATCCAGACGTTCACCTCCCCAGCAACCTTTTCCAGGTCCTCCTAGGGTATCCTAGGGTGTTCCCAAGCCAGAAGAGAAAAATAATAATCCCGACATGTTCTGAGTCTTCCCCAGTCTCCTACCAGTTGGACATGCCTGGAAGACGTACTTCAAGCTCCCCTGGGTGTCCTCCTAGGGTATCCTAGGGTGTTCCCAAGCCAGAAGAGAAAAATAATAATCCCGACATGTTCTGAGTCTTCCCCAGTCTCCTACCAGTTGGACATGCCTGGAAGACGTACTTCAAGCTCCCCTGGGTGTCTGAGCTGCTTACCATATCTCTAAGGGTGAACCAACCTATGGATGAAACTCATTTCAGCCACTTGAATCTGCAATGTCTATCACTACCAACTACCCAAAAGCTCATAACCATCAGATTCAGAAAGAGCTTTGTTGCCAAATAATTTTTACACATACAAGGAATTTGCTTTGGTGACGAGGTGCCAAACATAAATATTAGGGCTGGGCACGTTTATGCATTATTATCGCGTTAATTAATTAAAGCTGACAATTATTTTATCGCACGTTAACGCAATTATTATTATTATTCACTGGTTCTGAATACACATACAATCAAACTATGGGTCACAGGAGGGGTGGGATGTTGATCATCCTGCAAATCACCCACCCAAACACGTAGTGGAGGGAGGCTTCGGGAGACTATGCTGGATGCAGCATGTGGGAGAAGTAGATAAACAAAAGCTAGACAAGCGATCAAATGCCATAGCGATGCCATAGTTATGCTGTGGCAGTGATAAATAGCTTTGGTTTTATTTGAGTATTAATATTATTATTTAAGTTGAGATTCACAAGAAATACTGTTCAGTTCATTTCAATTCAAATTTATTTAAATAGCGCCAAATCACAAGCGCTTTTCATAAAAGAGCAGGTCTAGACCGTACTCTATGATGCTATTTACAGAAGCCCAACAATTCCCACCAAGAGCAAGCACTAGGCGACAGAGGCAAGGAAAAACTTCCTTTTAAGAGGCAGAAACCTCGAGCAGAACCATGGCTCAGGGTGGGCGGCCATCTGCCTCGACCGGTTGGGGGTGAAGGAGAGAGAGAGAGAGAGAGAGAGAGAGAAAGAGAGGGATGGAAGGAGAGAGAGGGGAGGGAGGCAGCCTACACAATATACACACAGAGGTACAGACAGTAAAGGTGATGTTGCTATAGACTAAATGAAAAATGGTATAGATATTTATAGTAGTGTTAATGATAACAATCGTAATGTTAATGATTATAATAACAATAATAATAATAGGACTAGTAACAATAGTTGTTGTAGCAGAGGGTGTCGAGCAGGAACACGGGGGCAGCAGGTGACCCGCAGCCACAGATCCAGACTCCACAGCTCCAGAGCCAGAAAACCTGCAGGAAGTGATAGGAGGAGGGGGACGAGAAAGCACAAGACTACCGGAAAGGGGAGAAGTTGTGTTAGTAACATGCAATAATGGGATGAGGTTGCATACAGAGGGAGAGAAAGAAGAGGAGAGAGGAGCTCAGTGCATCATAGGAAATCCCCCAGCAATCTAGGCCTATAGCAGCATAACTAAGGGATGGTTCAGGACTCACCTGAGCCAGCCCTAACTGTAAGCTTTATCAAAGAGGAAAGTCTTAAGCCTACTCTTAAATGTGGAGATAGTGTCTGCCTCCTGAACCCAAACTGGAACCTGGTTCCACAGGAGAGGAGCTTGATAGCTGAACGCTCTGGCTCCTAGTCTACTTTTGGAGACTCTAGGAACCACAAGTAACCCTGCATTCTGGGAGCGCAGTGCTCTGGCGGGGTAGTAAGGTACTATGAGCTCTTTAAGATAAGATGGTGCCTGACTATTAAGAGCTTTGTAGGTGAGAAGAATGGTTTTAAATTCTATTCTCAAGTTTACTGGAAGCCATTGCTGAGAAGCTAAGACAGGAGAAATATGATCTCTTTTCCTGGTTCCTGTCAGAACACATGCTGCAGCATTCTCGATCAGCTGAAGAGTATTAATGGACTTTTTCGAGCAGCCTGATAATAAGGAATTGCAGTAATCCAGCGTAGAAGTAACAAATGCATGGACCAGTTTTTCTGCATAATTTTTAGACAGGATGTTCCTGATTTTCACAATATTACGTAGGTGAAAAAAGGCGGTCCTTGAAATTTGCTTAATGTGAGACTTAAACGACATGTCCTGATCAACGATAACTCCAAGATTCCTCACAGTGGTGCTGGAGGCCAGGGCGATGCGATCAAGGGAAACTATATCTTTAGATAAAGCATCACGGAGGTGCTTAGGCCCCAGAACAATAACTTCAGTTTTATGTTTAACATTAGAAAATTACAGGTCATCCAGGTTTTAATATCCTGAAGGCACATTTGAAGTTTAGCTAACTGATGAGTTTCATCTGGCTTGATCGATAGATATAACTGAGTATCATCTGCATAACAATGAAAGTTTATGGAACATTTCCTGATAATTTTGCCTAAAGGAAGCATATATAAAGTGAAGAGGATTGGTCCGAAGACAGATCCTTGTGGAACTCCATGACTAACTTTGGCATGCATGGAGGACTCATCGTTAACATGTACAAACTGAAATCGACCTGATAAATAGGACTTAAACCAGCTTAGAGCGGTTCCTTTAATGCCAATGAAATGTTCCAGTCTCTGCAATAGGATCTGATGATCAATGGTATCAAATGCAGCACTAAGATCTAATAAAACCAGTACAGAGACAAGTCCTTTGTCTCCTCCAATAAGGTCATTAGTAATTTTCACCAGCTGTCTCTGTGCTATGATGAGCTCTAAATCCTGACTGAAAATCCCCAAATAAACTATTGCTCTGTAGAAAGTCACACAGCTGTTTAGCAACTGCTTTCTCCAGGATCTTAGAGAGAAATGGAAGGTTAGATATAGGTCTATAGTTGGCTAAAACATCCGGATCAAGTTTGGGCTTTTTCAGAAGAGGTTTAATTACAGCTACTTTAAAGTACTGTGGTACATAGCCTGTTGATAGAGATAGATTGATCATATCTAGTATAGAAGTGCTGACTAAGGGTAAAACATCTTTAAGCAACCTAGTTGGGATGGGGTCTAAAAGGTAGGTTGATGGTTTAGATGAAGAAATTATTGAAGTTAGTTGGTAAAGGTTGAGGGAGGCAAAACAGTCTAAACATATATCTGGTTCTACAGCTGTTTCTAAGGTTCCTGAGTTTAGAGATAAGTTGGTGCCAGTTGAGGGCAGGTCTTGGTGAATTTTGTTTCTAATGTTAGAATTTTAGCATTAAAGAAGCTCATGAAGTCGTAACTATTGAGAGATATGGGAATACTTGGCTCAATAGAGCTGTGACTCTCTGTCAGCCTGGCTACAGTGCTGAAAAGAAACTTGGGGTTGTTCCTATTTTCCTCTATTAATGACGAGTAGTACGCTGCTCTGGCATTACGGAGGGCCTTCCTATAAGTCTATAAGTTAAGACTATCTTGCCAAATTAAACGAGAATTTTCCAGTTTGGTGGAACGCCAATTCCTCTCAAGTTTCCGCGATATTTGCTTTAATTTGCGAGTTTCCGTATTATACCATGGAGCTAACCGTCTTTGTTTTATTATTTTCTTTTTTAGAGAGGGCTACAGAGTAGAGTGTCATTCGCAGCGAGCCTGCAGCACTATCAACAAGATGATCGATTTGGGAGGGACTGAAATTAGCACAGGAGTCCTCTGTTACTTTGTGACTTGATAATGAATTTAGAGCTGATGGAATCGCAACCTTAAATTTAGCTACAGCACTATCAGACAGACATCTTGTATAGAATTTTTTGCCCAATGGCGTGTAGTTCAGCAATACAAACTCAAAAGTTATCAAACAGTGGTCGGACAAAGAGGGATTCTGTGGGAACACCACTAAATGTTCAATTTCAATACCATACACCAAAACAAGGTCGAGGGTGTGGTTAAAACAGTGAGTCGGTTCATGAACACTCTGAGAGAAGCCAATGGAATCTAGCGATAAACGCAGTACTAAAGCTGTCATTCTCAACCTCCATATGAATATTAAAATCCCCTACAATAATAACTTTGTCCGTTTTAAGGACTAAAGTTGACAAAAACTCTGCAAATTCAGATAAGAATTCAGAGTACGGACCAGGTGCTCGGTACACTATAAAGAAAAGAATTGTTTGCAGTGATTTCCAACTTGTGTGCGAAAGACCAAGGACAAGGCTTTAAAATGAGTTATAATTTATAATTTATTTATAAATTAGAGGGGCAATACACCGTTTTCCAGCAGAAAACCATTGCCTCAAACTTGGAGGACTAAGACTGCTTTACACTTGTCTGTAAAATGTCACAGTGCATGGTGGCGGTCATGGTCTGATGAAGCCAACAGAACCACATCATCTGGTAAGAGCACCGAAGCAATTCTGAGGTCCGGTCACCACCTTTACGTTTGACTTCCTGCCAAGAACACAGACACAGCTTTCACTCCTGTTATGTAAGGACCGGATGGCTCGTGCCAGTTGCCCCAGTACACCATACTCCTGCGGCGAAATGCCTCAGCATGTTCTATGATCTTACAGTGTCTTTTTTGCTCTTTGTGCTTTTCAGGTTCTCTATGATCAAAAGGTCTTGGGGAAGTTTTGTGGCCAAGAAAATTCAACTGATCACCCAGGCCAAGAGCCAATCCTTTCTCAAGGCAACAGAATGACTCTCATATTTCAAACAAGTAACTCCTCTCCAGAGGTCCAGCAGCACATTGGCTTCTCTGCTACCTACAAGGCAATAGGTAAGAGTTTTTCTGGTTATTTCACTCTTCCCTTTAATGAACGGTGTCCACCAACCTTCAAGAAGTATTCCAACAGTAATTTCCAACATCAATAATAACAGTTCTTCAATTTCTTTCATTGTCATGTACAATTACAGTGAAGCAGTCATTAGTAATGAAAGATATCAGGCTCCCACCAGTGTCCACTAACGACAGCATCACTTTTCAAAGAATCAAATCAAATGTACTGATTTCTCAGTAAATTCTCCATTACTGTTCCCTTTGTGTCCTGGGATTTGTTCAATCATTATGTGTCGATGGAGCAGTTCCAAGATTTGCTTCTGTACATGACGTTGAAACAGTTTTGATCTTGTGTTGATCAGCTTAAGATGAGACTTTTCAAGTTCACAAATTAAAACTAAGCCAAACAATAATACAATAACCTAAATTAAACTTGAGGGTAGGTTCTGCCTTTACTGACCTTCTCATTATCAGACATAGATGAGTGTTCAAAACCAGTCTCTGGAGATGGCTCATATCCCCTCTGCTCCCAGATCTGTATCAACACCCCCGGCTCTTACCGCTGCTCCTGCCACCATGATTACAAACTTCATTTAGACCAGCACACATGTTTGTGTGAGTACAGTATACAGTAAATGCATTCTTCTTCGTATGTGCCTTATTGTGTGTTATCCTGTGAACTGCTGAATATCTTCTTTTTACAATAATATGTTCTTTTGCCCCTTGTCCAGTATCCTGTGGAGGTTGTATATTTGATAAACATGAGGGACATCTGTCCAGTCCAGGGTACCCTCGTCCTTCACCTCCTTTTCTGTTCTGCAAGTACATCATCTCTGTGGAGCCCAGATTCACTGTCACTCTCAATTTCACTGACAACTTCCACATAGAGAGCATGGACACTCAGCAGGGTCCCAAGTGTCTACATCACTGGCTGCAGGTATTGGCAAAGGGCTTCTTTACAACCAATGACAATAAAAAGAGGGCAACTCTGATATGTCTCAGTGTATATATAAACTTTCCTCTACTGCTGTCATAGGTGACCATTCCAGATAGGGAGCCCATGAAGCTGTGTGGTGGAAAGAGTCCAGGTCTGATAGCTACAAATTCCAGTACTGTCAGACTGGACTACCACACTGATAATGAGGGCCTGAGCCACGGCTGGAGCCTGGACTACAGCACAGATGGTGAGGGACGAAGCAAGAAAGACACAGTGTTTTGTTTGGATGGTCACAGTTTTTCAACTGTAAATATGTGACTGATGTTTGGTTATGACATCCTTTGTAGTTGTCAAATGTCCATTTCCGGGGAAAGTGACTAAAGGCAGAGTGACTCCTGTCTTGACTGAGTATTTCTACAGAGATTACATCTATGTGACCTGCGACCGAGGATACAAGCTGATGATGGTTTGATGTTTTCTGTCTTTCACTGTTCATTTGTTGACACCAAAATAAGATGTTGCTTAATGTCTTTCTGTTTAAATTTCTTTATATTTTGAAGTAGACAAACATTCATCCAATATATTGCATTCAGTCAATCCACTCATTCTCAGGATGGTCGAAAAATCAAGACATACTCATCCATGTGTCAGAAAGACAGACAGTGGCACCTCCCTCTGCCAAAATGCCAGAGTATGTCTGTTTTAATAAAGAAAACAATACAATACAATTTACTGTTACACTTGGAAAATATTAATATGTCTTTATTTTGTTCTTCTGCAGAAGTTGACTGTGGAGAACCCGAACCTTTGCTGAATGGAGGAGTGACCTTCCTGTCTGGCTTTCAGAATCAGTATGGTTCTGTTGTTCAGTATCACTGCAATGAACCTTTTTACTCTCTCCCTGGGGGCGTTAATGGTGAGATATTTATGTATATTATTCAAAAAAATATAATTATTAAAAATGACAAATGTTAATATAGATTAACTAAAATAAATGCCAATTTATTGTTCCCTCTGGTCTCCAGTTAGTTTCACCTGTGAAACAGACAGAAAGTGGAGATCCAACCACACCATCACTCCAATATGTATACCTGGTATTGAAATCCTTTGATACCGAAGACGCTTTATTTAAAACAAGTCTGTATCTGTGTGAAACTAATTCATGTCTGTCTCATCCAGTCTGTGGCCAGCCTACAAAACTCATCTCTGCCTATCAGAGGATCATTGGAGGCAGGGAAGCTCCAGACAAAACCATCCCCTGGCAAGTGTTACTGAGAGTAGATGGACAAAGAGCAGGAGGCATTGTGATTGCAGACCGCTGGATTATGACTGCAGCTCATGTCCTAAAGCATAATGGACAACAAGTATCAAAAGAGTCTATACAGGTAAGTGGCTCTAGATGTTGTCAGCATGCCCATTGCCTTCATTTTTAAAATATACATATAGTGTATTTCCTCCTATGCTGTTGATTTACAGATTAACATGGGAGTTACTGATGTTAGTCAGCTCTCTCCTGTGTATGCTGCCTCTGTCCACATTCACCCTAAATACAACAACCCCAATGACTTAGATTACGACAATGACATCGCCTTGATCAAACTGCAAGACCGAATCACATTCAACTCATCCATTATGCCAATTTGTTTGCCAGCAAAGGGTGCCACATATGTCACTGGCATGATGGGGTAACAAACATCTCCTGAGTTTCATTTCATAATGCTGCATAATCCAGTTTAAACATTATTTATTTTTTCCGCTTTTAGTTGTTTGAACTCAATAACTTTACCCAGCATTTAAATCTTCTTTTTGCTTTTATCTCTTATTTTGCCAACATATGAATGTTCTAGGTAGGAGACTCTGATTTGCTTTTTTTTTTAATGAGTTCACCATAGCTGTCTCTTCTATATTTTTTTTCAGACTGGTGTCCGGCTTTGGCCTTACAGACACAGCCGACAGCCGATGGATTGTCCCAAATAAGCTGAAGTACGTGCACCTCCCTGTGGTGGAGCAGGAGACATGCAATAATTCAATCACTTTGTTGAAGAGGACAAGGAAAAATGTACCAAGTCTGACAAATAACATGTTTTGTGCTGGAGTCCCTGAAGGTGGGAAAGACTCCTGCCACAGTGATAATGGAGGCCCCTTCACCCTGAGTGAAGATGGACTGTTCTGGGTTGCTGGGATTGTCAGCTGGGGGGTTGACTGCGGACAGCAGGGAACATATGGAGTCTATACCAGAGTCGCAAACTACCTGGACTGGATCAACAAGACTATGCAGAAGAAGTTTACTAAATTTAATCACTAAGTTATAAAATGTGGTTTGTTGAACACAACCAGGGACAAATATGTCTAAATAAAAATAAATGAGGAAGAATAACTTGGCTCATAATGTCCTTTTTTATTCATCTTACAATAAAATGATGAAGGTGAGGTACAGAACTTCAGCAGCCAGATGAGAATTAGATTTATCTCAAAATGTATAGCAGGTAACTTGGTCTGACTTTCGTTTGGTGCTGGGCAGGTAGCATAATGTGAGTTTAGTAAGCTAAAAAGGCTTGCTAAAAACAGCTGCTTGCTGCCACTGGAAATTAGGTTGATGAGAGCAGTAAGGACAGGTTGTGAATTGTAAAACCAAAATTTCATACTTTTGCACGTTAAAGGAGAAGTTTTGGAATATAATTTGCTTTGTTGCCAAGAGTTAGATGATTTTGAACTTTGATGCCACGCTCATGTCTGAACTTTATAGTAAATGTTGTGAAACTACAGCCAGCAGTTGATTAGCTTAGCTTAGCATAAAAAAAGGCTGGAAACAGGGCGAAACAGGAAGCTTGCTTTCAGCACTTCTAAATATCACTAATTAACATATCATAGCTCATTTGTTTAAAAAAATATATATTTTCTGTATAATTATGCTTTTCTTACCTGTGGACAGAGCCAGGCAAGCTGTTTCCCCTGTTTCCAGTAGTTATGCTAATGGACTAAAGGGTGCCATTTACGTTGGAAGTCGGAGGTCGGAGGTTGGAGCTGGGAATGACGTCACACCTGAGTTGATGGTGTTCCAGTACAATAATAGATTTAAGTTGGAAAAGGAAGATTGATGCCTCTGGCCATTGTTAACAATACCAGTTGATAACAAAGCATTACACCATAGCAAACAAAGCAAACACCATAGCAACATATCTACAGATATAAGTTGGACAGGACTGTATTTAATGAGACACAAACAACGCACAACTGTGATAAACAGTACATTTCTACAGCTTTCACTGCTGTTGATTCCAGGAGCAGCCATCTTGGATTTTGAGGTCAGGATTGGTGAGGTTCTCCTGACTTAAGGGGGCGTTCCAGCTAAAATTTCCGACTTGGAACTCAGAAATTTCAACTTTCCATATAAAATGGAACACAACCATTATGCTAAGCTAGTTAACTGGCTGTTATCAATCACTTTGCAAAAGGGCCAATAGCCATAGGCAGCTCTGTCCCAATTCACCCTTCGCTAAGCCATGCTTTGAATATGCAAGCTGGCCAATGACAGCGCAGTATAGGACTGGTTCTAACTGAGGTGGCTGCAGTCTAGGGCTGACCCCGAATAGTCGAAGATTCAATGCTTCGATGGGCGGAGCCTGATTGGACTGTCAATCTTAAAGTCGAAGCTTCCCAGCGAAACAAGGATCATGCCATTTTGGCGATATGGTGGTCAATGTCTAATTTTACATAGAACTACCAGTTTCCTCCCAGTTTAACTGTCTACCAGTTAATAGACAGCCTATTACAATATACACTTCAATATTTAATGCCCTAAATGAACCTGTAAAAAGAATAAAACTTTCAATAAATGTTTTTAAAGCGTGTGAATAAATCCAAAATTGTAACCCTAACCCTGGGTCGTCAGTGCGCATGTGTAGGCGTAGCATGTGTGTAGTGGCGGAAGAGTAACACTTGCTGAAGAGACCGAGCCCCAGCTTCACTGGTGTTGTGCCGAATTGTCCGCACCTTGCAGGACTTTTGGATAATTTATCCCCGTTGATGAACCACACAAAGAATATTTTATCATTTTTAAATAGCCAGCTGCTTGAAATGGACCACGATGTGCAATGCAGTCACCGCGCACAAATACACACGATTCGACTATCAGTCGACTATTGGCAGGACTTGACGATTCTGATTTGACTATGTAAATCCTTAGTCGAGGACAGCCCTACTGTGCTCCATTGACTTCTATGCAAAACGTCCAAATTTTCCAAGATATAGAGACCATATGGGTGGTAACTGCGCAATGGATAATACACATGCCTTTGGTGTGAGAGACCAGGGTTTGATTACCACTGTGACCCATCCACCATTCTGTCTCTGAGCAAGACACTTAACCCAACGTTGTTCCAGAGGTGTGCGACCTCTGACATGTATAGCAATTGTAAGTCGCTTTGGATAAAAGCATCAGCATCAGGAATAAATGTAATATGATGCCTAAGGGGGTGGTGATGGTGCATAGATAAGATGGTTGCCTTTGGTGTGGGAGACCTGGGTTCAATTCCCACTGTGAGACATCCACCTCACATTGTGTCCCTAAGCAAGACACTTAACTCCTACTTTCTCCAGAGGCGTGCAACCTCTGACATATATAGCAATTGTAAGTTGTTTTGGATAAAAGCATCAGCTAAAGGAATAAATGTAAGTCACTCACTTGCCCATGGGACCTTATTATATAAAAAATATGTACCACAGTCAATGGCGAGAGACAACTTATTTTTTGATCTTGTTTGAATTGTGCCCTGAATTAAACATATTTTTGTCAATATAAAAAAAAAGTGTCCATCAAGAAAGTTGCAGTTTGTCAGAAAACACTAAAGTTACATGTCATTTTGTGTGAAACTGTTCAATCAACACTTCTTGTCTTGCACAATATACAGTATCTCACAAAAGTGAGTAGACCCCTCACATTTTTGTAAATATTTGATTATATCTTTTTATGTAACACTGAAGAAATGATACTTTGCTACAATGTAATGTAGTGAGTGCACAGCTTTTATAACAGTGTAAATTTGCCATTAATGTTTAAACCACTGGCAACAAAAGTGAGCATACCCCTGAGTGAAAATGTCCAAATCGGGCTCAAATTTTATGTGGACCATTATTGGTCCATAAAGAGTGGACAGTAAAGCGTACAGGTGTCATGCCTAAAAGTGATCGGTGGGAGCACGCGCAGCATGTTAAAGCTGTATCGCCCAGTATCTTCACGTCTGCAGCTGCTTTTATCTGGATCAAACAGACATAACATGTAAATAAACATCACTTTATGTCCGTGGTAATAGCGAAGATATGTCTTTGTGATAGGCCTACTTTTGATGTTTCTTTTAACAGAATAATCACAATTGTGGCCAAATAAGTGTTTGCAGTTTATCGTAACCAAGCATGACATTTACGTGATTATAGGCAATAATTGAAGCCTGTTTTTGCCGATAGATTATGTGTTTGGCAGGCCTATGTCTAATATCCTTGTTCATATTTGGAAAACGAATGTAGCTTATAATTAACATGACTTACTGCTGAGCTATATATAAAATAAATACAAGATCTCTTTTGCAATTATCCTTATGTCTCTACATTATTTAACTTGCTGTGTACCAACCATTCCAATCCTTTTTACCTGTTGAAATACCTTTAAATGGCCAAACACACACATAACATTCATTATTCTACTTGCCAGAAAGTAATTGCAGCCTCTACTTATTGACTGAAAGGTAGTTTCTGCTTCAAAATGACTTGATTTCATTCAGAAGAGTTATATTTGACAGATTTTAAAACCGAAATCGTCCCCCTTTTTTATTTCATAATAACATAATAATTTTTTAATGACATACTGACCTACCGAGCTTTATAGGTTTTATCCTTAATATTGTTTTCCTCATTCTCAGTTGTCAGGTAATGTGGTACACTTTAAACCTGTGATCAGTAGGCTTTAGGTTCTATCTTTATGTTTTCATGTCAGTTTGACAGCCTGAATATAACCTTCAAATGTATAATGCAAACCCTTCTGCTTCTTTCTAAAAAAAAAATAAAATAAAATCCTTTTTCCAAAAATTACACAATATTCCTCCAGGGAGAGCAGTTATAGACAGTGGCAGCCGGGGCCATGCTAACAAGCTAAGTATTCAAACCAAGAGCAACCAAGGGGGGCGTGACTTCGCAAAGGGTCAATTTTATCTACATTACATTTATTCATTTAGTCTTATCCACCCCGTAGCCTAAATACCAATTTAGATTAATATCTCTCAATAGTTATAGTTATATAGCACAATAAATACAAATCAGTTCCCCTGTAATTATATTACATAAAAAATAAAAAAGGATCCGGGTGATTTCAGCCAAAGATTGTTGCTAGTTCCCATGGTGACACATGACCCGCTCCTTGCTGTTCTGTCATTGGACGATCCTGTCTGCTCACTTTTACTTTCACTGCTGCACTGCTGCGTATGCTCTCGACAGCGAGACAGGTTACAGGTCCTGTACTTCGTCATGAGTTTATTAGATTATATGTATTGATGTACAGCTATTGCACATTATAGATGCGATGTAGGAAAGGCTGTAAAATTACTCAGACTGTAGCGATGTAACAAGCCGTTGTTAGTAATTGAAATCGAAAGTGAAAGTGCTTTCTCAGCAGTTGTTTTTATTTAACTTGTACCAACGTTAAAATTTGCCTACAACCAGCAAAAAGTCTTACTTACTAAAACACGGAAACAAGACTCCATGATGATGATTGAATTGATTTTTTTGGGATACTTTCTGACGTGCGTTTGTGGTAAGAACACTAACTTAATGAAGGTATACTAATTCAGAATTGAATGGTGGGCTTGCATTGGTTGTCAAGCTCAGTAGGCACATACAGTCTATGAGGAGGCATCATACATCTTTTAGACAAGTAGGCTATTCATTTTACATAGTCTGATAGAGCTTCTTTATGGCTCAGTGAATTCCTAGAGAGTAAACTGGAAAGAACCATGTAACTGTCACTAAGTATACACTGTGTTTTGTACACTTCTGAGTCAATTAAGTGTTAACCTACGTGTAATCTAGAATATACCATAGTCAGTGCATAGCAGGTCATCTGCAAAAATGTGAAATGTGTCTAAAGGCAAGTAAGCAGTTCAACATGTATGTAGAAATTACATTTTCAATAATAAATGCATGTTGAGTGAATATATACTTGAGTTTAAAAGGAGGTTTGTCAAAGTAAAATCTTCTGGAAATCAGCAATTGCTTTTAAATTTAACTCAACTAAACAAACAAAAAATAAGTCTCAGAACTCTATATTTATTTGCCTTTATATTGTACCTAATTACATGGTTAAACCTTCAACATTTCGTTTAATAGTAGTCTTCAAGTATTTGTGTAGCTGATAAGGTTAAAAATGTTAACTGTTCAGTAAGTAAAAGGTGGTTAACCTCCATTATTTTACTATGTATAGTCAAAACTTCATTCAGATGTCATTCATTCCAGATGATACATCAATATTTTTAAGAATTTTTTATATTTTTGAAATCTGCCTCTTGTTTCTCAGCCAATGGGGTTGCAGACGTTGTACTTTCCTGCTCCCTGGTGGAGGAGGGAGCTGGACTGGGTGGAATGGGAGGTGGCGCTCTTTTCACACGAACTCCAGCCACTCTTGTATTAAGAGACGTTGCAGTGGCTCCTGACCAATCACTCGAAACACTCACAGCATTTGTCCCGCCTTCAATCCCTGATCCAGATGCCATCCTGTTAGAAGCCACAGGTTTTCCCTACTTTCTCTTTATATAAAGTTTGGTATCATATAAACACAGCCTGTGTTTAATTCCTCCTCTCATCCTTCTCTGGCAGTGTCATCGCCTGAGATCCCGAACTCAGATGTGTTGCTCCATGCAGACTGCAATGACCAGGAGGTGATGTGCGAAATAAGCAGTTACACTCCTCGTGGATCTCAGGAAAGTTCAGATCCAGCTTATTTCATGGTTTCCCTTAATGTGGAGGGAGTTGACTTCAGCACTGCGTTGATTCTGCAGACTTTGACGGTGAAGAAGGACCAGTCGACCCTCATACAAAACAAACTGCGTCTGCCTCTTAGCCAGTCGGGAACTATTCTGACTGAGGGTGAATTCCTTTCAAAATCACATTTCACCCTTTCATTGAATTGTTTCTTTTCTTTTTTTTGTTAGACAGGCAATAACAAAAATCTCTCCATTTTTCTCTGCTGTTGTCTTTGCTTTCTGTTCCCTCAGTGATATTCCTGGTGTTTACCCACATCAAGTCTGTATCTGCACCTCTGAGAGGTGACGTTCTCCTCAACTGTGGCTTCAAGCAGCAGGAGATACCCTTAGCGCAGGAGGTGGGCATTGAATGGCGACAGCAGCACAGGGGGAAAGGGAGAAAAGTGCTTGAAATGAAGACAGGGCTGGATGATGCTGAAGGGAGCACAGTGGGTAAGTGCTGTGTGAACATGTGTGCATCACCTCTTCTGGTTTATCCAGGAGGATTTAAACACTGAGGAAGGCTTCTTGTGGCTCTGAGAGTGTTGATGATGGTACATTAGTGCAAGATGGCTTCAGTGGCTTGGAAGTTCATGAATAAATAAATGCAAATTGACTGTAAATGCATTTTTAGTGATGTTTTGAGGACAGTGTTGACACATTTCAAACTCACAAAAGAAGTCTTGCCAAGTAGCCATTTTGACATTAAACACTAAGTTAATGCATTAGATTAAACAAAAACATTGCATTGTTTCTAATATTTCCATAAATAAGCCTTGAAATTAGCTGTCAAACCACAAGACCACCTACATGGATGAGGTAAATTGTGATTTTATAATGATCCTAATAGTAATTTCTAGTCTGGACCTTGAGTTGAGATTGTTTTTTCAACACCTGTTTCATTTTATGTCCTCAGTGCATGCAGAAAGGATGGGCTCCAGCATGGATGCTGCCCAGCTTGTTCGTGAGGGTAACGCCTCTGTGACTCTGACCAAGCTGAAAGTTTTGGATGAGGGGGCCTACATCTGTACTGTCAGTATAGGAATTTTCCATGCCCAGCAGGTCATTCAACTCCACATTATTCGTAAGTTTCACCATAATCTCTCAATTCAGAAAAATCCACTGAATGTATCTCAATTGCTCCTCTGCTTCTCTTTGTGTCAGAACCACCCAGTGTTTCACTCTCAGAGGAGAAGTTGGTGTTGAAGACAAAGTCACCCCAGACACTGAGCTGCCACTGCACTAAATACTATCCACTGGATGCTCAGGTCTGTAACTAGACTCTTAGATGTAGCTGTTAACACCTGTTCTTATACCTTTCCTGCTATTCAACAACTTACATAAACTTACATAATACACAACATAAAATCTCAGGAAAGTCTCAGTTATTAATTTATTAATAACATTGAAATCCAAAGACTACTGATGACCATAGAGATGAAATGTAGACAGGTATTGTCCAAATAAAGTCTTTGCATTTTCTTAATGTTTATTTATCCACTGCAAGCAAGCAAACAAGAACAAAGAAATCATGCTGCCTATCTTGCTCTGGTATTCACTAACAAGGTCCACGCCAATATGAGATATAAAAGTAGTTTATTTGGATGATGGAGAGTATTTATGATGGAGGGATCGAGGGGAGAGGGATGAAGGGGTTTGTTTCAGTGGACGGCGTGGCTAGGAACCCGGGGTCCCCTTTGTGGGTTATGGTAGAAAGAGAGACAGTTACTTAGTAAAAGTGTTTACTGTAGCATGTATGTCTTTGATGGTGGGAAGAAACCAGAGCGCCCGGGGGAAATCCACGCAAGCACAGGGAGAACATGCAAACTCCACACAGAAAGGCCTGGGATGACCGAAGTTCAGACCTGAGACCTTCTTGTTGTGAGGCCCCAGTGTTGTCCACTGGGCCACCGTGCTGCCCATTAGGAGAGGGGGAGAAAAAAGTGGGGGGGTGAGAACTGAGACAAACGAGAACGACGTGGGTTAGACATGCTTATGTACACGTGTGTGCAGTTGATTGGGTTAGGAAGGCACAGGTGGCTGAATTAGTGCGAGAGAGAGGTGTGGTCCTGTTCCTGAACTTTAGTTATAAAACTCCATAAAAAATAGACCCTTCCAGGTGCATGCTGGTCCTATACCTGCCTACCCATACAAAACTTGATATGCCCATAGTGCTGTCCAGTTCTTACAAAACCAACCTAAACATAAACAAAATAAACAACTAGCAAAACTAAGTAATCTAAAAAAATAACTATTAAAAGAAAATACTAAATAAATCTTATCTAAATGATGCAAATATCCAAGCACTCAAAAGAAGTAACTTACTAACCAGTCCTCACAGTGCTCGCTTGTCAGTTTTTGCACTGTTAAAGCACTTCATGGGCCTACTTGTCTTACATGCCTGCTATGTATGAGACAGGGTGGTCCCTCAGGTCCTTTGAGTCTTTAAGTTGTTCCAAAGAGATGAACAAAAACCTCAAAAAGAGGCAGATTGTAGTTTTTATGCTTCGAGCCCATAGTTCGAGCCGTTGGAACAGTAAAAAACAGCTCAATGTGTTGATATCTTAAAACTTAAAAACCTCTTCAGTTGTCTTTTGTGTTACAGAAATTATTTAATATATTCAATCCTTTATTTCATTTTATTCATGTTTTAAAATGTTTTACTCTCTCTTATCAATTAGATTTTTCATAGGCTTTAATCTATCTTACTGTTTTTAAAATGATCTATCTCTTTTATTGGTTTTATTATTATATTTTCATAATTTTATTTCTTGTGAACATTAGTCTTAAATTCTTTAACTGTTTACACTTGTCTTAATATCAGCTTGTCAGTCAACTCTCAAACACTTTCAATGAACGTACCTGTATGGAAGATGCTATACCAATAAAGTTTGATTGATTGATTCACTGGTCATGATTCTCTGTTTTCTTCTGCCTTTCAGATGGAGTGGTCATACCTCTCTCCTACAGACACAGAGCCTACAGTGTTTCCAGACCAGGGCTCTCTGTCTAGCCATCGACAGCACAGTGATGGGACATATTCCCAGTCATCTCATCTCACTGTGCCGTCCAGTGTCTCTCCTGGGACTAAAATAACCTGCAGGGTGTCCCACCTGGCCCTGGGCGAGCCTCTCTCTGTTAGTGTGATGGTAGAAGCTCCAGAAGCAGGTATTAATGTGTTGCTGTTGTTTGTTGCTTAACCCTGTATTTTTAAAGGAATAGTTTGACATTTTGGGAAACATGCCTTTTTGCTTTCTTGCCGAGAGTTAGCTCAGAAGATCACTGCCGCTCCTATGTCTGGTAATGTATGGTAAATATGAAGCTCCAGCCAGGTGGCTTAGCTTAGCATAAAGACTGGAAACAGGGGAAAACTGCTTGCCTGGTTCTGTCTAATAATAGTAATAATAATAATAATAATAATAATAATAATAATACATTTTATTTCTATAGCGCTTTTCAGGACAATCAAAGACACTTTGTAGTAAAACCAGAAGTTATGTACATTTAAAAAAAGATAAAAAACATAAATAGCAAAATATATGTACATTAGGTAAAAACATGTGGTGCAGAAATACATAAGAGCGAAGGGGCGACCATATAAATTACAATTAACAAACAGCAGCAGGTGCAATATAACATTATTTGATCATATAAATAACAAACAGCAGCAGGTGCAATATAACATTATTTGAGGTTAAAAGCTAGTCTAAAAAGGTGAGTGATGGGCGGAGACGGGCAATGTTTTTGAGGTGAAAGAAGGCAGTCCTGGTGACATGGTTTTTAAATGTAACAAAATCTGCCTACCAGCACATCTAAAGCTCACTAATACATGGTGGAACTTTTTGTTTAATTTGTACCAAACCCAAAGTGTAATCATTGCGGTTTTACAGAGGGTTATGTCTATCACTTAAATCCTTCCATTGTTGTTGTCATCAACGTTTGGATCACCAAAGTTATTAGGAGTAATCCTCTGGGGACCATGAATGGCTGTACAGTGTCAGTCCATTCTATAGTTAGAGAAATGCCACTATGGACCCAAGTGTTGCATCAACAGATTGAGCAACAGACTAAATTACATTGCCATCTCTGGCAAAAAAATAGCAGATCAAAATGTTGTTACCATGGAACTCCAGCTGATTTAGATGACCTTGACTAGTGTAAAGTCTTGTAAGATGGGCTGCAGGCTTCAGAGAAGGGAGCTCACTAACTAACATGTTATAAGTCGTGTTTAATTGGTACAAAAACAATATCTTGTGGTTTTATGGGGGTTATTTTTCTGTTTCCTATGTGAAGTATAATACATAAATGGTTTAAACTATGGTTTAGGTCATATCACAGCCTCTTTTGATTATGTCACAGTTAACTGGGGCATTGAAATGAAAAATATTTCAGCTCTGGAAAATGCAAAAATGCAACTTGTAACTCAACCACAAAATTGTTGAAAACAAAGCAAAAAAAATCCTTTTTATTTTGCACATTAAACATTCCAGCAACAAACATTATTTATTAGCATTACACTGTGACTGTATTGTGTATCTTGTACTCAGTGTCAACCCAGTATAAAAACAAAACCTTAACTGGTCTCTGTGTCTTTCACTCTACAGATTCTTATTGGTGGATTCTGGGGTTCCTGGTCGTCACTGTGATTTTCTTCTACCAGGTCATGAGATAAAGTAGTAGGAGAAATTTTACCAGATACTCCTGACTTGAAACTGAGCCCAGAAGGACTTTCTTTGTGCCATGTGTCATTTGTGAGTCTTTAAGTTATTACTGATTTCATTAGCCATCACTGGTTCTCTTCTGGCTCTCTCTACTGAACTGTGAAATACAAATTTTGGGGGAAAATACTGTATTTAGCTGTACCATTTATTTGCTTTCTAAATGTGTTGTTGAGTATCGTTGGTAGGAGTTTACTTATGTTAAGGTGTGTGGCATGTGTGGAGTTTGCATTTCAGTAACCTGCAACATATTAAATTCTAAGCATTTGGCATAAAACCCACAATTTAAATTCCAAACTAAACTTTCCATCAAAAGTACTTTTGTCACACACAAATTATCCACCGCAGTTTCATTATGTGTAACACTGACTGACACGGACTTGAATTGCGTTTTGATTGTCTTGCGCTGTAGGAAACTTGCTTTCTTACTCAGAACCAAATAGTGTTTTAAGTTGCTCTCAACGTACTAACACAGTTCCAAGAACAAATTACAGCAAGACATGCTGCTTAAAACAAGGACAACAATGCTGAATGAAAACTAAAAATATACATAGAACTAGCATACAAGTAGTTGAAAAAATAAGTGTGTATATGAATTTGAAAGCAAATATCAAATCAGTGGCACTATTAATATGATAATCTGAGACATGTAATGTATGTGCAGTCAAATATATAATTTATTTTGTTAAATTTTTTGTCAGTTTATAAAAACGTGCTGCTCCAATGTTTAGTTATACATGCTTTTCTATGCTGTTGCCCATCATAGAAGTTTACAAAGTTGCATAAATCCTCCACAAGAAGGGACTACAGCTGAAGCAAGCAGTTATACAGTGGACATTAACAAAACATGCAATGAGATACAGGACTATTGGTCTGGTTCAAGCTGGTTGAAGTTATCTAGGCCTTGGATTATTTGTGTGGCTTCTTTGTTCCACTGGCCAGAATAACCATGGATTTTTTTATATCCATTTTTACATGTTTCTGCTGAGAACTTGTAACTACAGATTCACTGTAAATGGGTGTCTTCATTTAAAGCCTCTTAAAGGTTTTCTTTTTGAAAGGCTTTTTTGTTTTACTGTTTTCATACTATTTTAAATGTAGCTAAGATGCTATAATATTTTGTTTCTCACTTGTTTTTGTGTGTTGGATACCCGTTTTGTTGTTTACTTTTCACAATGATGGATTTCAAGACTCAGCAATATTGTTTAAGATATTTTACATTATTTATAATAGAACACTTGTTCTATTATGTCTGGAAACTAAATTGAACTTGTGTTGTAAACAAATCAAAGGGTTTCACTTTCATTAAATGATTACAGCCAAAATCAGGATCTGTATATTATAATAACAAAGCAGGCATCACTTGAAGTAGAGTAGATTGAGGGGAAAAAAATTCTAACAGGGTATTGGCTCAATATGTCAACAAAATATAACAAAGGTCATCACTCAGTTCTGTTGATGATTTCTTTATTGGCATCAGCAAAAGTGGTAAGCATGCATTTGTTTTCCAGTTGCATCTCTCACTGCATTTTCAGGTTGTAAATCACAAAACATGTCCTCAAATCTCATGTGGTAATTACCTAATAAAAATAGTTGCACAATATCAGATAATTATGGCTAACTGCTGCAATTTTGTGCATAAGGTTGTTCATATTTTCTTAATTTTTTGAACTCTCAAAGTCTGAGGAGAGAGAGAAAATTTACTTTTCTTTTATATCAGACAACCCTCCCCAAAAAACCTGAAAGAATTTATAAACATGTTTTCAGAAGTATAATCTGACAGATGTGTACTATTGTTCTACCCATACAATACTACATGTTTAACAGTTCACTGTAATTGGAGTTGTTTGCAGTCTCTGAATATTGTTTTTTCTTTCAAAAGCAAGTGAAATTAACAAGATTTGGCAAACTCTTGAGCATCATCGCATTGCATAAGCATTAGTTATCAGATCAGAAAGACATTATACACAGGTCATTTAAACCACTGACAAAAGAAAATGTACAATCGGCAGTTAGATTCAGAAATGGCAGATACACAGGTCACACAAATAGGCAAAACTATTGACACCGTTTGCCATGCAAGTTAGAAACAAAGTCCTCATTTTGACCCTTTACCATACCGCAGGTGACAGGTAAGTCTGTTTTTATGTGATAGAAGGGGGAGCGGGAGGGCCAGGGGACTCTAGATTTCTAAATCATGTCCTTTCCCCCATTTTCCTACTTTTTTGAAACTAAAGTCAACTTAAACAACAATCAAAGAATCGCTTTGTTTGAACAACCTTTAAAACAAGTTGGCATCTGTCTATGGCTGTGACCCTGTCCAAGTCAGAGTTAAGACACCTTCCTCTGGGTCGGAGCAGTCAGCTCATGTACACAGTAGATTGTCTGTTAGTGGCTGCCTGTCTGTTTGTCTTGCTGTGCATATTACTATGCCACTACCTGTGGTTTCAAAAACCAAGGTGAAATGAAGCATAGTTATACAACTACTTTATCAATAATTGCTTATCAGGCCAGAATTTAGTTTGCTTTATTTAAATAGGGAGAAATGCTGCAATACTCTTACTACCTTCCCCTGAATCACTTATTTTTGCCCTTTTACTCTCACAGAGTCTCTTTCTAATTGTTATTACTGAGCTTTGCAAGAGGTAAGAGAAAGTTAGGCCGGAAAGAAAACAAAGAGTTTACTAATAAAAGCCTATCAGCTAAACTTGGGAAAAGCTATTAGCTACAATGCTTTGGATCACAAATAAGCACACGCACATACAACAAAAATGTTCATAATCTTAATCTAACATGAACTTGTGTTAGTAGGTAGCAATGACGGTAGCGGTTGTGACAGAAAGAGTGTGTTAGTTAGGCATGTCAGTACCAATTTACAAATGTAGGACTCTCAAAAAAGGTAATTTGAACACGTATCTGGGGTAGAAAGGACTGCATACTCTTGTTCAATCTCCCTGCACACATTCAACATCTGTACATTGTACATTTCCCCTCCCAGTAGCTCCGTTCAGAGGGCTTAGCCCCTGTGTGTTCCCGTGTCCCAAGAATTTTCTCACTCCCTCCCTCCTTCCCTTTCTTTCTTCCTCTTTCACTCTGCCTGCTGTGTCCTTCAATAATACATGAGGTGCAGAGACAGGAGAGAGTGAATGAGACTTCATGGTAAAACAGGGGAAGAAGGAACAAGGAGAGGGGACAAAGAGAGCGGGGACACTATGAACACTACTGTCAAGTATAAGTGCAAGATGGTTTGATGGAAGACTGTGAAGAGAGGAAGGAGAGGGCGGATAAAAGGGGGCGCTTGGGTTTCTTTTTTTCTCTTCCCTCTCATATCATTCTCAAGTCCATATCCATCTGTACTGATGGGCAGAGCTCAGTAGAAGAAGTACACTGAATGAAAGAGAGAGCGAGAGAAAGTAATTAGTCTAATGGATCTGACAATGCATCACTTAAAACACAACAAGTAGAGAGCAGCCAGCTGAGCTCTGCTTCTTACATAGTGGCTATGGATTCTGTTTTTAGTAAAACTGGTATTATATAAATAATTTACTGTAATAAAAAGTCATGAATTATTGACAATCAGAACAGAGGTGCAGGCCAGATATGGGCTTGTTAGGGCAGAAACATATAATATGCTTATACCTGCACTCCTTTTATAAAGTCAGAAGGACTATCTCTATATTTAAATTTCCTGTGAAATTAATAGACTAATCATCAGTACTAATATATACTGACACCATATGAATAATTGCCCTTTACTGAGGATTCTTCTCTTCATATACATGTTCCTCTGCTGCCGAAATAAAAAACATAGCAAACACTTAATGATCATCTGCTTTGTTAGTAATCATATCTGTATGTATATATATTAACCTCTGTAAGTCAATCAATAGACTGATCAATCACTGATCAAGTATTAGTATCAAGATGAAACCATCTTCTACTTACAGAATATTATTCCAACCACAATGACCCCAATGATACCCATCATGATCATCATCTGAAAGGAGAAAACAATAACATTTACAAAAATGGGACATACTTTTATAAAGGTTAAGAGACACTGTGACTACTGTTTGGAGTTAGAAAAAAAAGACGTCTGAAAAATAAAACCTTTAAGACACTTGGGATTCTTTGCATTTAGTTATGCAATCTCCTGAGTATTTCAGGGTCTGTAATGAAATCTCTACAATAACAGACCAAAGCATCTGTTCAGTCTTTCACGACAGCTCATTAACAGATTCGTGAAGAGCAGGATGACGGCATTTCCAGAACAGACACTGTGTGTTTGCCTCAGCGCACCTCAGCATGAACAGTTGTTCGATACTTTAAAATAAAAGATATAATCTCTACTGGTTCCATTTACACACTATATCTTTATGTACCACATACAAGTATATTGTTAATTTAGACTTGGATCTTATTGTGAGTTTCTTTTTGTAACAACAATCTGTTTTATGGACCCACACTAATGTGCCCACCTTGCAATTCTTCCACCAGTATTTGTTCTTTAGCTTGGCTGCGCAGCTTTCAAACTGGGAGGCTCCGGCTTGAAGAGCATCTGCTCTGTCATCCAGCTCTGAAAGCTTCTGGTCCCTTTCCAAAACCTTGTCCACATTCACCCGCATGATATCCACCACCTAGATCACGGCAGTGAGGATGAGAAAGCATTTGGCAGTGGTGGGGAGGAGAGACAAAGAGGATGACAAGCATGGTTAAAGGAAAGCATCACAGGGGACAAAGGGTTTTCTGAACCTATATGAGAGTAAATAAGTTGCATCAATCCTTTTACAAATTGCAGCAGAGCCCATTATATATTAAGAAGACGGGGCCTTTTCTCAGAACATGAGAGCTACAAAGCATTTTCACATGCTTATTTGTCTTTGGCCTAATATAAGCACTGTGCATATACAGTACGCCCAGGTATTTTTAATGATTAAGCCATTGATTAGGTTCCCCAGCTGCTTTAATATAGACAAATTGCATGTAACTGCACCAAATTCAGAAGTCTGGCCCGGTCCAGCTCACCTCCTCAACTTGGGCCTGTGTCTGCTGTAGCCTGCGGTTGCTGGAGGTATTAGGTGGGCCGGCAGGTGGGCCGGCTGGGGCTCCATCTGCACCAGGGGCTCCTGGAGCTCCGGGGGCGGCAGCATCTGGGGCAGACCTGAGAAGAAGCAGGAAGTGAGATCGGAGTTAAGGAGACCATTTGATATTCTGATAAGTGATGCATGTTTAAGGCATGTGGAGAGCACATAACTTTAATCTAATTCATCTGCCAGTTATAGAGGAGGGATCAAGCCACTACATAGCAAAAGGAGAAACTGGAGCGGAGATAATAGGATGTAATGGGGAAAGAAATGGGGAGAGAATGAGCAGGTGATAGTTAAGAAGAAAGTAGGATGAGAAAGAAGAAAAAATAGGCCACAGATGGGAAGCAACAAACAGAAATCCCTGTACATGAAGACACTGGCTGAATAATGGGAGAGGAGATTTGGGTGAGAAAAAAAGAGAGGGGAGAAGTTCTCTTGCCATGGATTACAGTGAGTTGGGTGGGACTGAGAATAAAAGGTATAAGGCCTGAAAGTGAAGGGAAGAGGAAAGGGTTAATCCAGCAGAGGGAAGAGGAATGGGTACAGGAGGTTTAAAACTGAGTAAACAAGCTCCCCAGGGGAGCAGCCACTGACTCAGCCAGATGGAAGGTCCAAATACATCCTGGTCACTGCAGGAGGACAAAAGTTTAATGCCTTGAGGTACTCATGAACCATCAATCCCTTGACATTCATTTTCCTCAACATTAAGCAGGTGATGATGGTGACCTCAAACCCACTGATATAATAATATACATAATATATACATAATATACATAATATGTTGTGTAATAATATATTTATATACAGTATCTTTGGTGTAAAATGAAATAAAAAAGCTCCATTTATCTCTGCCTAAAGCTTTTTTTCATGGCAGCAGTCAGCCTTGAAATACATAAGCTAATTTAGTGACGCTGTGATTGGAAATTTTACTTGCGTCAGCAAAATCCATAAAGCTGAAAGAAATCAGTTGTTTGTCACCCTCATTTAAAAAAACATACAAGGCAAAAAAATTGGTTTGGATATATGTTTTTCGAGAGCAGCTTAAGAGAAATTTTAATTGTTTTTTGTGAAAAGAGCGCAGCAGAAAAGCCGCATTAATACTCACATCTTCTATGCAGCTGTTTGAACTGACTCTGGCAGCAGAGGAAGGGTGACGGGCAGTGAGGCAGGAGAGGGAGGGTCTGAAGTACAATACGAGAAGAAGAAGAAAAACAGCAAGATCAAAGAAAAAAAAGAGA